GTGAGGTAGAAAGTGGTCCAGTGTTCGCTCTGTATACTAAGAACAATCTCTAGTCTCCCTTTCTTTTTTGTGCCTGGGTAATGTATGACTTTAAAGCAGAATAATTCCATTAGTCCATGACTGAATTGGATTAATTAGTATGTTTGTGGAAATTGAATAATTTATCCTCTACTAGTATCCATAAAATATAAAATAAAAAAACATTAAAATGAAATACAAGAACCAACTTAGATAGTAAGCAATAAGAAAACTAAACTTTGGAGTTAATTATTACTTTACTGATTATTTACTAGAGCAGCAAAATAATTAATATCAAATAAAATACTTGCAATAAAATATAAAAATAAAATATATGAATAATAATAACAATAAATAAAAAGGAGAAAGGAAAGGTTAAACTCAACTAAAACAGCTACAGGCTGTCTGAGGGTGGCTAGAGACTAAAAGTTTAAAATGACTTAGTGACACCAGCGAGCTGAGTTTTCACAGACTCCTGTAGTAAATTCAAACCCACTGGTGCGCTGTAGCTAAAAGCAGATTCTCTCAGTTCAGTAAAAACTTTCAGTACCTGACAGGTAATTCAGTCCTTAGAGCAGGTCTGATAATTACTGTTATTTATAGAGATATAAGCTGGCATATGGCCAGCAATTTATAAATAAAAAAGCCAGTGTGATTCCCTTCGTGCTGCTAGTAAGGTCCAACTAACTTTATCATACAGGCCGCAGTGATGAGTGTTATAAGGGTCGCCAGTAATGAAGCGCAAGGAAGAATGATAGATTGAGTCCAGTGGTTTGAGAGTACCCGTGAACTCATGTTTATAGGTTATATCACTGTAGTCCAGTATTGATAGTAAGGCTGCCTCCATGACTCTTTTTCTGTCATGTTATTTATGTTCGAATTCACAGCTTACTGTATACTAAGTCAGAGTTTGGCATGATATAAATGTTGTGACAGGCTCGGCCAGGGGAGGTAAGGGGCCTATGTATAAAGTTTTCAGTGGGCCTTAACACCAGTAATCCATTATAAGTCTAATTAAGACTGCTAGTCTTGTGGTTCAGGCCAATACTAGCCAGACTTTTCAAGATAGATTTGAACATGTAAATGTTTAGATGCTCCACTGACTCTCTTGCAGGGTTTTAGTAACATTTTGCAGTGTCATAAAGATGTCATGCACTATAATGTGTGATGACAGCTTAAAGGCATCAAATATGACAGCTGACTAAAAAAATCCCCTTTCGGGTGAACTTCCTGTACTAACTGTAATATTCAATGTGCCTCAGAACCTGCTGGTTCAGTTCTTCAGAATAATCACAGAACCTGTCATTTTCATTTCTAGTACAGTCTGCTGCAGCATGACATTCTCAAGTTACAGTGCATGATAAAGTCTGGAAAAAACACTGCAGGTGTCATTTCAACCCTGCAGGTGTTATTTCATGCAGAATTGTGTCTAGTACTGTTTCGGGCTTTCTACTGACTTTTCCTCTTTAGTTTTTACAGATGTTGTAGCGTAAATTTTCCATATTTTTTCTGTAAATTCTCTAAAATTACACACAAAATAATTCTATTTTCTGTGAATTTACAGAGAAATCCTGTTAAAGGAAAACATGATGCCAAAAATCAAGCAAAGTAGCAGCAAGTATATAAAGTTGATTTTGAACTTTGATACAAACCAATTAACGTCTTTACTCAATGCGACGTACTATTTTATTTACACTGATTGTTAGTGCTGAGTAAGTGTGCACTGTTGGTACAGCATACCATGATCCATATGGACTATTCACATTACATTAGCACATACTTACTGTGTTTTGGGGGTTTTATTTATCATTTTATATGCATGAAGATTAGAAGTGATTGACAGACTTATGGATTTGCTGATGTGCGTGAGACTACTGCATTTCTGCCTGAGCTTGTACTAAACTCGTGTCAGTTTTCAACATCAGGTGCAGACCAAATACTTTTCCTGCTGACACGTTAACAGTTGTGAAAAAAGAATAAAAGCAGTGGAGAGCAACCCATGCAACCTAGGTACCTATGTGTTATTGGTATTTATTTTTTTTAAGCACTCCATTTTTACCATTTAATACACAGGTGGTATTTTTACAACAGCTATGTCAACATTAATGTTCAGATGATTAAAATATAGATTACAAACAATTGTGACGTGTTTAATCTGTGATACCCTGTCACTACCCAAGCATCAAATAACCGAAATATCAATTCACTCAGACACTTCTTATGGTTGTATCAGCTTCATTTTGTTGGAAATTGAGGCGCATTATAAATATAGCACCATGTAAAATCATAGGTTTAAATAATCAGTTACATGCAGAAATGTCTGAGGATTACAACAAATATTTGAAATAGGTCGACTAATACGGAAGTTATGGCCGATTTTAATAACATGCATCATATCCCAATAAATGGGTATTTGTTTACAAGCGAATCTTGACTGCTCCAACATGGCAGACACACAGCCCCAGACCAAGAACAACAGACATCTAAGTATTTATCTGTAGTGCGAGATAAGACCCTAACAGAGAACGTGTCCTATCCTCATGCTAACTGGGAGATAAAACATAAGGCCCAAACTAAAGGGCTAACCAGGAACTAATGCACTAGCTAACTTGAACTAACATGCTGTAAGCAAACTAATACGCTAGCTAGTGAATAACCTTACAGTCTATGAAACTAACGTGCTAGTTAACATGCTAAGTCACACACAGTGACAATTTTACAGCAAGGAAGTTATTCTAACTCACTATTTTAACCACAATACTCTGCTTAGTGCTCTGTCAATTAAGCTACAGTACAATAAAATTGTAATTTTGCCTCTAATTCTGTAATTCCACCTTTAGGTTACCAGAGTGTCACTAATCTGAATTATAGTCCAATACCTTTCATTACCTCCCCTGTGTAAATCTTAATCCATTGTTTATAATTTGGATGGATGAATTCGATTAGCGAGAATTAAGAGAATTAAGCCTGCAGGTTGTTTTGGTCTTTGTAAGGAGACTCTGATTATCCTGTGCCTTTTATTTTGAATATAAAGGCGTAGAAAGACATTCAGCTGTGAAATAGTCAAGTGGCTAAATAAAGCATAATAAAGACAAAGGTCATAAGTGTCTTCTGAGCAATACAGCTCAGAAAAAAGGCATTAAAAAAGATGGCACTGCGCAGAGAAAGCCAACATTTTACTAACTTTACAGACTTTGTTGAATTCAATTTACATAAAATGTTTTTACAACATAATTGCAATTAATGAATCCATAGTTGAATTAAAATGTGATTTATACTGACTGACTTCATTTTCAGTTGCACACTGTAGACACGGAAATTTGCAACATCCATGGTAACCCCTATGTAATTCACATTACAATCATTTTGAGGCAAAGACTTACTGTCACTCTTGCCCATAGCGCACTGTAGCCCACCTTGGCCCCACTTTACAAAAGAATGAGTGGAAGTGTAAAAAAAGCATTGTAATATACAGAACATACCAGTCCAGGAATCTGTGAGATATAACATCTTTAGATTTTTAGATATTCTGTCTTCTTTTTGTCATTGACACGTTGCCTAGAGTGAATGTTGCACCTTCTTGACCAGAAGCTACAAGTCATCCAGTTTGATTCTCAGCTGCTCACTCTCATAAGCCAGTTTAATACACACCGATTCCAGGGAAGTTACTCTGGAAATAAGATACTTCAGGATTTACTCTGTTTCCTGTATGTTTTGGTCATAAATGGCGGATACCTGGGCAGTCGTCTCAATAGCTCATTCCTCCATGCTCATGAGCAGGCTCTCGATGTCATCCAGGGTCAGCGGGCTGCTGCTGTTAGCAGTGAAGGAGGAAGAGGCTAGCTTGCTGCCTGTATTCGTTGCTGGATGCAACTCTAAGCAATTTCTTGATCTTGCTCATGCTGAAAGTGACAGCCTACAATAATATACATAAACAAAAAGTAGTTCTTAATGGGATACTTACAAGCAAGTTGTTAAAGAGTCCTGATGCTAAACTCCTCTAGCTACTCCACTATGTTAAAAAGGTGCTGCTTTTACTTCAAGTTCTGCAAACAGATCAAATTATAATCCTGTTTACATGTATTTTGCATGAATTAGCAATAAAATCTAGATTTTAAACAGTAAAAGCATACTAATCTGACTTATGGTACAAAAATGTAAAAGGTGCATTGCAATATACACAGCATAAACTGTTCCTTATGTCTTCTTCAATGTGCTTCTTCTTATAAACAAGCCCATCAAGTCACTACTGGTGTGTATTTGGTGATTTTCGAATGTATTTAAACCTTCTGGAAAGAACCTTAATGACACTTTAATGACAGCTGTATTTCAGACCCAAGCCCATCCTACCATCCTATACCAAAACCCCCTTTTCATCTTTGCTGCATTTAGTAACTTTGCAAACCTTGTGGGTGAACTACTACATCTAACTAATGCAGAACAATATATATATTAATGAAAATAATACGGTACTGCACCATTTTCAGCTTAGCATTGCTATAAATGCAGAGATGCTTGTGATGGAACTACATTACATTCTCAGCAGCCACTTTGTTAGAAACAGCCTTCCATGTAGGTTCACCTTTCTGGTGTATAGACTGTCACTGTAGTCCATCTGTTTGTTTTCACAGTCCTCTGGCCCTTCAGCAATGGTCTGACCACAGAGCCACTCCTGGATTGACCACTCTCTACCTAGCACTGACACTGAAGTGTGTGAAAATCATTCAGATTTCAGATCAAGTGACATTACAACAACTGCAGTGAGAGGAAGGACAAAAAGTCTCAGGCAGTATATGGGCCACTAAGTCTAACCACAGCACTGCCATTCGTCAACAGGAAAGCACCGTGGTTTCTGACGAGTCTCCTTTATGGTGCTTATTTACAAAATAAACATCGGTTCCACTTCAATTTCTCTGCACATACGAAGACAAAAAGGCCTTTACATGCATGAAACTAAAGGACTACAATGAAAGATTCTTGAATTTGGTGTTTTATAAAGAAATTTATTTTGGAAAATGTCAAATGCCTAAATACACTCAACAAGATAATCCTACTGAAAAAAGTCAGGCAAAAAAATGAATATTAAACTATGTTTTGTTTGTCTTGCATTAACTTTGGCCTGATATCCCTTTACCTATATCTCATTAGACATTTAATTTCAGTTTATTGATGACTAAGGACACTTGCTGCACTATTCATACATACTTACAGCTTTAAGGTCACCAACCTGGCTTAAAAGGAGGAGTTTCTAGCCTACTGTGTCAACAGTTAAATCCTGTTTGCTTGGCTTTCTGTGGCCTCAGAGCAGGCATGTTAGTACAGTGATAGACGTTTTTTCCCATTTTTGGAAGCTAACCTCTGTACAAAATACAGACTGAAATGAAAGAATAATTACACACCCACTCCAACTGTCTTGGCTTACAGCTGAACCATATTAGCAATGCCACCTGAATGGAGCAACAGAAATGGTCCAACATCTTTTTCTTCTCTTGTAAAAATTACCATTTTGGAAATATGCAGTTCGCACAGTTATGATACACAAAATGTACATAACTACATGATGAGTTTTAGTTGTAGAACTTCTCTGCAGCATCATGGATAAGTAGTTGCCTCCATTAACCATGTAAAAAACTGAAATGGCTTCAGCAAGCATGTGCTCTATTCACATGCTACTCTCCTTTGCCTGCTTTCTTTACAGCTGGCGGGGTCTTCTGCAGCACTGAGAGTGTGTCCCTCTTCTCAATCTTCCTCAGCTGCTTCTTCTTCATCCTCTTGAGCTTTGCTGTGTTGCGAATCTGAGGGGAAATTGAAGTGGAGAAAAGAGAGCAATGTGAAAAATGTAACATTAATAAGAACATACACAGGTTACATTATCCATAAAACATATAATACAGCAGATCCTTCAATGCTCACTCACTCTAAGTAACACAGAATGACCACAATTGTAGACTAAAAATGCAAAGCACTGTATAGCTTCAATTTACAAAGTCAGTCTACTGATCTTTGTTTTTGAATAATCTCTTATTAAGGTTAATCATGTTCTTCATTTAAAGCTTTTTTAAAGTGAGAATTTAATTCGGAGGAATTTACAGAACTCTGAAGAACTGAATTCTGAAGAAACGCTATCAATATCATCGCCACATGTTAGAATCAACTTGACAGCACTTAATAACATAATAATAATAGTTTTGAAAACTTCCAACAAATTTGCTTGTATACATCAATGTAAAGTTCAGCCTGTAATGGTGTGTGTTTTTCTCATTATTCCAAGACTTGTAGAATTGGGTGTAGACCACTCATCCAAACAATGGTGGTGTTCTATCAGAAATGTGTATGCCTCTTACCACTTGAACAATCTCTGCTTTTCTCTGGTTTTCTTCACGCCTCTTCAGATTCTCCTCCCTTCTCTTCCTTTTCTCCTGCAGTGTAGAAAACAAAGCCATGTAAATTACCTGGCTTACTTTTATATTATGTTCAGCACTGTCTAAATATTCTAAACATCCTACAAGTTCAAAACATACTGTAGCGAGATAAAGTAACGTAAATGCCAGGCAATATCTGTTCACAATAAAGAGACCCCCTGTAATGTAAATGCCAGGCAATATCTGTTCACAATAAAGAGACCCCCTGTAATGTAAATGCCAGGCAATATCTGTTCACAATAAAGAGACCCCCTTTAGCCACTGTTTCTTGTTATAGACAAGAAATTAACAGGTGCATTAATTAAGCTTTTACCATCATGAAATTGTAACTGATGATAATAATAATAACAACAACTGCAATAACAGTTTTTTGCTCAAGCTCAAAAATAAACTTTACTCACCGCTGCCACCTAAGGCTACGTTTACACAGCAGGTAAAAGTGGCCCAAATCTGATTTTCTTACCAAATGCGATTTTTTTGTTTGTCTGTTCGCATTATCTTTTAAATGTGACCTGTATGCAACATTAGTCTGAAACAGATCAGCTCCTAAACTGACCTGCATGCGCAAAAGACACACAGAGCGGTTGTGGTAAGTCTAATTTATTGGGACAGAAATATCAGCCTAAATGTTTAAGAGTCTCAGCAGCACGACATAATGACAAATGTCGAGTTAGACTGACGTAAAAGTTGCATGAATTCCGATCTGGCTGTTCAGACTGAGTCACAATGCCGCAGATTGGATACGCATTGGATTTCAGTACCACTCATGAAAGCATCTCAAATCGGAATTGAAAGTGTCAGATTCAAAGCATTTTTTGTTGTTCACACTGCCACACAGATGACACATCTGTGTCACATATGGAGAAAAAGATTGGATTTGGGCCACTTTTACCTGCTGTGTGAACAAAGCCTAAGTCACAATTTTTTCTATTTTGCCAAGACCCATGTTGTGTCTCAATAAATGTTTTCTGCTTTCTTTTATTTACGTGTATTTGCCTCAACCCAACTGATGAAAATGCACCTGATTCACATTGTGTTTGTTCCGACATAAATATGACTGTGAAAGCTAACAAATGTGGAAAATAATTGTGGTCAGCTTTACCCTGTAAGACCAAATGCTCATTCATGACACACTTTACAATCAAACTTCAAACTAAATGAGAGAAGCTGAGCATTCCGACAATATGCCATATTCTATGTACACTACATCTGCAGATCTGTCTGTGTACTGCCTGCTCAGTAGATTACACTGTATACAGGCTAAGGGTGGGGGGGGGATGATTCTTAGACGCATCGCGATGTGGACGTGGACGATTCTGAAGTCAAAAATCGATTGTCTAAATTTTAATTGATAACGTAATGTTGACAGAACGCAAAAGGTGGAACTTTGCAAAGTGCGAAAGTGCAGCGCCTGGACAGTCCTGTGGCGGCACACGACATTAAAAGCTAGTGCTGGGTTTGGCAACCCAAATGTTAATAAGCGTCAGTTTGTCCTTTCAACAAAAAATCAAACCCTTTTGGGAACCACAACACTGAGTATATTTTACCATCTTGGCTGTACATGTGTCTCAGTATGTGCTAATGTCCTAGTGTAGGCTAAAAATATAATACAAACAAAAACCCAGACTTACTTTGCTCTGCATTAAGCTTTAGCTCAGCTGTAGCCGCTTTTCTTGCATCACCAGGTGGAAATTTTTCCACAAAAGTAGAACAGTTTATTGTAAAATATCTCTCAATGTTCTACTTTTTACAAGGCTGAAGTCAGTTTCTCGTTCGAATTTTCCTGTTCCACCTTAAATGGGGCCTGAGGTGCCAGAATGTAACTGCTGCACCATCTAAGGTGGAACAGGAAAATTCTAACGAGAAGCTGGGGAACAAGAAACTGACTTCAGTTTCACATTTTTTTTTGTGTTTGACAGTTTCTCGTTGCAGATTAAATGCATCAGGAAACCAGCTGGAGTGATTATAAATGCAAATAAATCTTTTCGTCTCAAATCTTTCTCATTGCCTTTTCGTTAACTACCAGCTAGGTGAACTAGCAGTTATAGGCTACATTGATTCCAGCATTTAAGATCATTTATTGTTGAAACTGTGTTAGAACGATCAGCAGAGCTTTATTGTACTGCAAAAGAGGATTATTTTATTTTTTCCTAGAAATCTTTACTGGCCACACCAGGCCAGTAAAAGAGCCACAGGTTGCCGACCCCTGAGGTAGCGTATGGAAGCACTTTGGCTTCTGTGGAGCATATTAAATGTTTCCATTTTCCGCCCGGTTGTAGTTGCTGCCAACCAGAGGACCATCGATCAAGCGATGTCAAAACTTCCACCCAAATCGAAAAGGGCGAAGCGAATTACAAACTCTACTGCAACTTTGATTGCCAAGGATTTGCATTCGTACTCAGTAGTTGAGAACCAGGGCTTCGACCCGTCTCTAAGACATTTTACTGACACAGCGACCCCCCCCCCACTCTCTACAACAAGACCAAAACCGAAGTTATGAAATCACTGAAGAAAATGGGTAGAATAGCTGTAATCTGCTGCGTGGAAACCCATCACCACAGGATGTTATTTCACCGTAACTACGCATTTTATCACAGATGAGTGGGAGCCTGTGTCTCATGTGCTCCAAACAAGAGCAGTGAATGAGAGCCTTCCAGTTCATTTACCTCATCACTTCCATTTGATTTATTAATAAAAGATATTGGAAGTAAATTCATTATGGATCATTACAGACACTTTGCTTTAAAAGTTCCAAGTCCTCACACAGTGAGAAAATAGAAATCCTGTATAGAAAAAAAGTCTCTCCACCATGTTTAACAGAAATACCCTTTGGCTTTCCCTAAATACAAAAGTATCTCCTTGTAGAAAACCATGTCAAAGACCTCTTTTATAGTTGATATAGTTGATACATACAGCTAATTGTCATTAAACAGTGTTAGTCATTAGCTGCCTTTGTTCTGATGGTTGCTTCAAAGTGCTTTGTGTGTTTCCACCATTTTGTCCAACCCTGTATGAAAGCTGCAACACTCAATTCTGACCAGAAGCACAATATGTAGGTCATAATGACAGTAAATGCCACACTAAAAAGTAGAATGACTGTAATCCAGTTCTGACCAACCTGGAATCCACCAGTTTGATGACTTCTCCGCTCACACACAACTGATTAAACTTATCAGTTAATGCCCATGTTTAGTAGGTAATTTCAAGCAGGGAAATCACCTGTGCTGGACTCCAGGAACAGACTTGTTCACGTTTTAGTCTTTAGCCACAAGCAATTATGTTAGTGTAGAACCAAATTCCCCTAACCAGTAAACTTCTGCCTAGAGGAGCTCCAGCTTGAGCCTTTGGCTCCACCTCATGGTGTACATCATTCATGACATGCAGATGTACAAACTTACATTTTACAGATAAAATAGTAGATATGATTTGCAGTTACTCTTTGAGACAGGTTCTAAGACAGCCTAGACCTGGCCTCACTGCAGTGCCAAAGTTAATGCTACATTGGAAATGATCATTAATCCAGGACTAGGCTTTTGATAGGTCTGAAAAACCAGCACGTTTTTAATTCAGAGGGCTTATACAATGTCTACCTTAGACATTTATATAAATCTTTATATGCTGTTTAAACATACCAATGCCAGTTAATCTCAGGATGTCTGTAATGTTCATGAGCAATTCAGGCAGGATAAGAAATCTTGGTCTAAATGACAGAGATATGAGTTGCTACTCGACTTACATGCCGTCTTAACTCCAGAAAAGAGCAGAAAAGTAAGTAAAACATTAATTTTAGTCATTTTTTCCATTTACCCTAACCATATACCTTTCTGTTTTAAGTGAATGTGTCATGAGCCTCAGCATTAGCTTGGGAATTCACAACAACAGTCAACTTTTTTCACATGCTCTGAGTTGTACACATGAGACAGGACAGTAATGTTACCTATAGGCTTGATTTTAGTCACAGAGAACAATCAGGCTGAAGTCAGCTTCCTATTCACATCTCGTTCCACCTTAAACGAAGCAGCAGCACTCAGGCCTTATAATAATAACTGCCACACCACTTTAGGTGGAACAGAAAAAATTCTAACAAGGAGCTGGTGAATAAGAAGCTGACTTCAGCTTTGTCAGAGAACACAAGTAAGCGCTTCTTCAATTGTCTCCATACTTAAAAACTCCCTTTCCACAAGATATAACATTGTTTTTATTGACGATGTTGATTTGGACAGGTTTAATACAACGTGGGTTTATTTCTGCAGCTTGTTTTATAGAAGGTAGAAGGCATTGTAATCTTAACAAGTAATGAATTTAGTTTTTCCCAGGAAAAAGCCACAAATAAGCACAGGAAACACAATGTACAAACATTGCAAACCACGCTAAAACTATCCTGTTTAGCTGAATGGCTAAACCAGAGGAGCTTCAAATGAAATGAAAATGCAGAAGTCCCTCAATCACTAGTCTAGTCTAATCGTATCTGAAGTAGTCCACTCAAGGCAACAGACATAAAGGAATGGCCGTAGCCAAACATGGACACTAGAGTGATCGCTGTGCTTCTGTTTCCTCTTGCACCACCTGTGAAGCTGCCCGACTCGGTCAGCCGCTTCAGACAATGCTATGGTCGTGGCCTTGTCTGCGCAACAAGTCGCGGAGCAGCTAGTACTGAAGGGTGAACGACTAATATTTTCCATATTCCAGCGGTGTCAGACAGTTGGAGGCACGAGTCTGGTTGTTAAAAATGGCTCTTGTTAAAAAGTGAAGGAACATCCCAGAATAATGAGGCACTGCTACCCTACAAAAATAGGCTTAAGCATCTAAAAGAGGGAGTAAACAGTATTAAACATGAAGCATGCAACACACACAAACCTCTTTCTCTCTGGCCTTCTGATCTTTAAGCTGCTGGTGATACTGCTTCACCAATTCCTTCTCCCTCTTAGCCTCCATCTTCTTTTGCCAGGAGCTGCGCAGAGGCTTATCCCTCAAAAGAGCCGAGAACCTTCAAAAACACAAAGAACCCCCAGATTAGGGTCAGACCAGCTCACGTAACACATTATCTAAAGATTCACCAGTGACTATCATACAGCTGGAGAAACTGCAAATCATATCTGAGCTTAAGGGCAGCTAAGTGTGGTTCAACAGACATTTTAACAGTCCTTTAGGGATGTAGATGATTGCATTTGTCTGGTTTGACACTGATATCCTGTGTTATTCTATGTGGCCTGTACATGGAACCAACTAAAGTACAACTTTAGACTGTCTCTCAATCATTATAACCACCATGTTGTAGAAGTTTGACAATAAATGAATGCAAGCTGAAAGGGTGTGTCACTATAAGTGGTTGCATTTACTCAGTTCCATGTACTTAAAAGTGCACTAATTAAGCTTATTTGGTCAAGTCAAAGAAATAAAAAAGATGCTGAAATATTGTGTGGGTGTTGTGTGGGTCACCCTGTAAAGCCTGAAATAATCATTAAAAAGTCAAAGGTGTGTGGTCAGAGTTTTTTACACCATGTCATATGTCTTCATGTCACACGCACAGTCAGGTCTTAAATGCAAAATCAACATTACACTGAAGATATGAGGTAGAGAATTCGCTCACATCCTTGAGTTTTCTCAAACATTTTATCTTTCCCAGCTCCATTTTAGCCCAAATCATTATTTTGAAAATTATTTATCTATTCCATTTGCTACTATATTTTTTCTTGCATTCTGTTTTTCCCCTGGGGTGCACCTCTGATAAGTGTGATTTTATCAGCAAAAAACTCCCAGAATTAATTTTTACCTAACCATTCTCCAACTTCACTCTTTACAACTAAACAAACTGTTTTTGTTACTGTGCCTTTAAAAAGACATATGTTATTGAGCTTTGCTGCTCTGTATTGTGCCTCATCCAAAAAGCAGTTAAGGCTGAAACACTGCTTATAACTTCAACATGAATGGGCGGAGCCAAACTGCTGTAGGCTGAATAAGTGGATATATGAAAGTATGTTGTTTTTTGTGAGATCACAAAAACAATTAATTCAAACCCAGCTGTTTTTGCAGCTTAGCTTCCATATATGGATAGTATGAAGTTAAGAATGAAACGTCATCATTGTTTGTTTACTTACTTACATCAAACTCAAAGAATTTGTTTCACTTATTTTTGAACTGCTCTCACTCATAGCTTTTGCAATGACATTTGTTCTTCTATCATATGTTGATAGTAACTGTTACTATCTTTTTTTTGAACATGTTGATTTCATAAAGATCTCCCCTATCATGGCAGATACACACTTTATAATCAATCTTATTTGATTGCTAGCTAAATTCCATATTCATAAATATAACTATTCAAATCACAAACGCTCTTCATTTCAAAAATTAAGTCGTAGCCACAACTTAGTAAGGCGTAGAAATGTCATAACTGACTTGACCACAGCTTAATAAGGCATGATCTCTTTCCCATGCCTTACTAAGTTGTGGCCATTAGGATCTCGTTCCCACGCGTTAATACGGCGTGGCCACGCATTATTTTTATTTATACCAGATGTCACCAGCAGGACTCCTTAGTCTCCTCCTCACCTCTGCTTGTTTCGGTCTTTCCACACTCGGCCAGACTTCGGTTTGCCTACTGGTACAGTCCGACCTGCTCGTTCACACGTCTGCGCATGCGCTGCGCCCATGCTGCGTTTACAAGGGTTTGTGTCCATCGTGTTTTTTTGGTTTTCCTTCTCCCCGCTGTGGTCCGAGTTTAGCGCTCCCGTTACTGTCACCTCCTCTACCGTTAGCGTGCTCTCCTCTCCCGTTACCGGGGTCCTGTCCTCTCGCTCTGGCTCCTCCTGACGGCTCTCCGTGTCCGGCTGAGCCTCCGGAGTCTCCTCGCCTTTCCTCTTCCGGCTGTTCCCGGCAGCTTTCGCCCCTCCTCGCTTGCGCGGCGGCATTAGACTGTTTCTTTTTCTGTCTGTTTGGTTCTTTGCTGCAAAAGCAAGTAAACTGCGGCTGTGGAAGAACGCACGTGTGCACTCGTGTGTTGACTACCGCTGTCCGACACGTGAATGAATCGTTCATATGAGTGGGGTTCTTTTAATGAATCAGTCGAACCGATTCAGTCCAAATGAATCGAATTGAGTGATCTGTGGGTGTTCTGGCAACTGTGCTCTTTTGGCCATCCAAATTAGTAGAAAATTCAACTGAAAGATCACAGTCTGTAGCACAAACAATGACCAATATAAGCATTTTTTTGTTTTACATTTTTTATTCTGAACTAAAGTTGTAATCTGTTATGTGATTAATCTTAACTGAATCTGTCTTTAAAGCCAATTTGAGTGTAAATGTTCTTTAAGGCAATCTAGGCTGCTGCTACAAACACATGTCGAAGTAAAGACATCTCACTGTTTTTGAGTATAAATGTTACACTGCATGGCTCATTCTGTTCATTTTGGCAAGTAATTTTAATGATTCTAACGGACTTGAATCTTTGAATCGAATCACCGATACAGTCAGGCCGAATGATCCGGTTCAGTAAAGTGAACCGAACCCAAAGAGGAGGAGACTGAGGACTGAAGCGCGAGACCGCCCCCTCTCGGCCGGGAGCGACATCACGTGACGAAGTTCCGAGTTTTCCAAACTGACTCAGTGTTGCTTCGCTTCGCGACCCGTACAGAAACGATGGGCTTCCCGAGAGCTGCGGCAGCTGTGCTCTTACTGGCAGTTATTCCAGTTTCAGTAAGTATTTACTGACAAAGTCCCGTCGTGTTTATTCATTTATTTGTCTGTTTGTTGCAGTGCTTGATATGTTCCTGTTATCCATCGAGTCTTCGCACACAACTTCTCACTGAGACGTGGACTCAGTTCTCAAAACCTGCAGTAAAAATGAACCGAAACCTTATTTATCCAGATGCAATTGTACTCAGTTTGCCTGCTTTAATGCTCTGTGAATGTGCCAAGTTAAAATGTTCAGTCTTGAGGGACTGAACTCCAAATCACTTTCTATCTAAAACATTACAGTTGTTAACATCCTTATCTTCCTCAGTAGATGTTTTGTGTTGAAGACAAGTGTGTAGATGGATATGAGTTGAAGTGTTTTGGCACAATAAAAGATTAGTAGAAGACACAGATCCACTTATCTGATGTGGGCTTTGTCATGTTGCTATGTCATGTGGGCTACGTCTTGTGACCTGTCACACTTCAAGGTGTTGTAAAGTAATACATGCTGGTTATGCTTAAGAGACACTCAGAAAGTGCAGGAACACCAGCAAGTTTAATTTATTTGAAATACATTACGTGACTAAAACTTTGAAAATGCACTGAACCTAAAAGTGCACCGTCCTAAATGTTGTTTCATTGTTTTCCCTGAGCTCTATTTATAACATTGGTTTGTATTGAAATACCAAAAAAAGTCAGAATTCAGTGTACATGACCAGTTTCCATCCTCTATTTATCCCTCAGAATTAAACAGGCTAGCTTTAGCCATGTCGTCGGGATATTGTGTGTTTGATCCTCTGTGATGCCATCCATGGCCGGGAGTCCAAGAGAACATAATTAGCCCTCCCTCAGCTCAGTCATTCAGCACGATGCTGACCAATGCAATTATCTGTTAGCTGACGTAACAGGACAGTGAGTTAGGCCAGAAACACACTTCATGCAAGTTCACAAACTACGCAAACGCTGTGTCTTCTATCTTCTTGTTTGCGCTCTTGTGTGGAGTATGTTTCTGACCTTGGTAGTCTCTTCTAAGCATGTTAAGTCGTCCATTCACATTGCTGCAGTTTGAAGAGATCCTGAAACTGACCTTAACAGTATATCTGAAGGTTTTAGGAGTGGCCATGACCACTTTAATACAATGGCAGTTGTGTTTTCTTTCCATTAGCTTGCCACAAGTTCTTCAAATTTTACTGTGGATTACAAAAACAACTGCTTCCTTAAAGATGGCCAGCCCTTCCGCTACATTTCTGGCAGCATCCACTACAGCAGGATTCCTCGGGTCTACTGGAAGGACCGGCTACTAAAGATGTACATGGCAGGACTCAATGCCATCCAAACGTAGGGAGACCACTCACTGTGATGACTTGTGCAGGGCAGAGGTAGCTCTGCCTCTCAACAAGCTTCACATCTCATGCACCATGTGTGGTTTCACCAACAGGTACATACCATGGAACTTCCACGAGCCCACACCCGGCCGCTACGACTTTTCAGGAGATCGAAACCTGACGCACTTTCTTCAGCTGTGCAAGGACCTCGACCTGCTGGTCATCCTCCGGCCAGGCCCGTATATCTGTGGCGAGTGGGACATGGTGAGAGAGGGGACGGGGTAGACGCAAGGGTGGGGGGTAGATGAAAAGATGTCTAATGTACTGTTCAGACAGGGTTAGCTTTACATGGGAAGGTGTGGAAAAGCATGTGCTGGCAGTGCCAGGTTGCCTTATTCCACTTTTGCTGCCTGAAGGGTTCGGATTAGTTGACAAAGTTGCATCATATAACAAACGGCACGCAAGAAATCGTGATAAACTGTAAGAAGGAATGGGAAAATTTAACTGTACTTTATGAATGGGGTCCCCCACCTGGCAGCTTTTACCTACTATTAAATGAACTATAGCAATTACCTCAGGTTCTATAAGTCCATTGCAAATTGAAAATCAAGGGTATTCATAGGGGGTTGGTCCTCGCTTCGCTGCTGCAACAGCCTCTTGTCTTCTAAGGAGGGTTTGCACTAGACATTGCTGTGAGGATTTGATTGCATTCAGTCATTCCAATCACTCCAACCTGTCCCCAATATTCTGTGGTGTTCCATTACTTCAGTTTCACCAGAATAGGATGCTACTCAAAGTGGCTGAATTCGCTGATCAGAAGGAAAGTCTGGATACTTTTAGGCATTGGAGTTTTCACAGGTTTTCTTAAGTATAAGAGTTCTTGAGAACTCGTTTACAGGGTAGTTTTGATGGGTGGCTGTAAACTCCCAGCTACTAGTGATGCTAATGGCATTGCTTTCACTATGAGAAATGTTGGTAGAAACTGAGTATTACGCAGCTTTTTTTGGTGATATGACAATACATAAATCAAGCGGACTCTCCAGTCTCTCTAATTCATAGAGATTTCTTATCTTATGCAAAGCACACATAGACACTGCAGACATCTTGTGGTAACACTGCTAGTATTTTGAAGACTGGCTTATAGTAAATGACTGTCAGTGGTAATTTGATTCAGATGCGATGCAGATCTACATCTAGATTTGACTGATTTCTTTTCTATCATGTCTTCTTGTTGGTTAATCCAGGGTGGTTTACCTTCCTGGTTGTTAAAAAAGAAGGACATCGTCCTCCGCTCATCTGATGCAGGTGGGACTTTTAGAGTTACTAATTAAACCTGATGCAGCATTTGAACGTGTTTTATAATGAGCTTGTCTGTATGACCAGTAGCACTTTAGAACTCTTTTTGATTTAGACTACATTGCGGCTGTGGATAGATGGATGGGGAAGTTGTTGCCTATGATTAAGCCTTACCTCTACCAGAATGGAGGACCCATCATTACAGTACAGGTCAGTCATTTCTGCAGTCTTACTGTCCACTTTATTAAAAGGCATCTACCTTGTACACAAATGCACTGGCCACTTTATAAGCTCGACCTGCCTTATAGGTCCACTATATAAGTGTAGAATTACATATTGTAACTCATCTGGTTCTCATTTTATCAGTTACCCTCTACCCCATTCATCAATGGCCAGTTTGGGCACTCCTGGTCAAATTACATTTTGTTGGTTTTCAAAGTGAAAATATGGTAACACATCTACAGAGAGCACAATTCTGCATATTTAAATACACAATTACTGTGTATTTGCTGAATTATCATATTATTATTGCATATTTTTCCAAGAACACGGTCCATCACTACACTTCTGTGCCTTGATATCTCCTGTAAAGATGTTATCTTTAAAGGAGATATAAGCCCCAGTCTGATCTGTTTCTCTTTCTCATCAGTCACGCTACTTGTACGTCTCACATGTGTATTTAAAGTGTTTCCCAACACTTGATTAACAGGTGGAAAATGAGTACGGGAGCTACTTTGCCTGTGACTTTGATTACCTGCGACACCTTGTCAAGCTGTATCGTTCTCACTTGGGTGAGGAGGTGGTGCTGTTCAGCACAGATGGAGCAGGCGTGGGCTACCTGAAGTGTGGGTCCCTGCAGGGCGTCTATGCTACTGTAGACTTTGGGCCAGGTGAGTGGGGGTGAGGATTGTTGTCCTTGATGTAATCAGCTGCTGACTGTTGGACTCCACTGTGGCGGAAAACAGTTGTTTTTTAGGACAGTTGCTCAGCACTTCCTGTTAATTCTTAGATACACTTTTAAAATCTGCTTTTGAAAAAAATAAGAAACTGTCCATCTCACTGTTTCTGACTGATTTTTGTAGATTTTTGGGGGGAACAGGGATCACACTGAGGATGTAAATGATTAACTGATCACCTGTTCACCAACAAATAATGCTGGCTGCATGTTGGTTAAAGAAAATTAAAATTTCATTTTATTTCATTTCTAATAAACAACAGTTGCTATCTGAATTGGTGGTTTTATCAAGTTGAGCAATGTTTTTGAATTCCCAAAATGCGAAGCTATGCGCAGCTGGTTTATAACTGATATTTTTATGGATTTCCTTCACTTCAGGTTTTCTAGTTTCCAGTTCATTTAATTAATGACAGTTGGTCGGTTATCGGTCAAAAGAATTTGCTAAAATTTGCATCCCTGCATCACACATAACCCAACTTTAGTAACTTCAGTAAGTTCAGTAACATGTTGCTGAACTGAACACACCAAACACTTCCACTGCCCCAAAATCTGTAGACCACAATCAATGCAGACTCACTGTGATTGGAATTTGTAGATGTATTGTGTGTATGTAAAAGAGCCCTGGATCAAAAGTTTGGAATAATTTTTGTCATCTAGGTAATTATTATGCAATAATATCTTATGGGGTAGATAGAAGTGTTAGAAACAAGACACAAAAATGAAAACCGAAGATTTACTTATAGTGTAAAATATTTTGGGAACAATCTCAAGTTGTAATGTTAAAAAAAGTAAAAAAGTTATTAAATATAAACTGTAATTATCTGTTTATAGAAATGTTTGTCTTGCTAAATTACTATGAATAGCTGTTTGTTTAGCGAGCAACATGGTCAAACATGAATCGATCTGCATATTAATTTTATTATAAGTTAATTCTTAATGCTGTACAGCTTTCTCAGTTACAGTGAAATCAATGGAATCATCCTATAAGCTCTGTCCATCATCAGAATTATTTTGTTATAGCTTTCTTCAAATGTTTTAAAATATCTAGAATATTAGCATCATATTAGAGTATATTTTTACACCTATCTGAATTAAATTGGCCTTATTGTTGAAAACAGTGAGTCCAGATATTTGAATGCTAGTTTATAACTGTTGTGAGCATTAAGGCAACATTTAATATTGTTCAATCTTGGTCAAGATTTTTGTGGCTGTGACCAGGTGGCTCATAGTTTGGCAGAGTGCTTCTTAGTTTTTTAAAATGGCACATACTTATTACAGAGTAATAATAATTTTTCTTTCTAACGATTGCTTTATGCACTTATGTCTTATCTGCTCTTAACCACTTGAAAATGTGAAGAGAGAGAGTACCAGGCATGAATATAGGCCACAAAAAATACAAATTACTCCTTCACTATGATTCATTATCATTTGCTCCCTGTAGAAGTAAATGATTCACATAGTTTGGTAAAAATATCCTTATCAGAGAGTCATACATGACTAACTCTACAGTTATGGAATATACTGTTTAAGGAAACATCTAATGGAGTTATATATTATTATTATATTTGTTTTGAACAGGTGGAAATGTGACTGCAGCTTTTCAAGCCCAGAGACATGCAGAACCTCATGGACCTCTGGTGAGGAACATTACAGAATAGGAAAAAGCTAAAGTTGCTAATAATTTGTAAAGGAAAAAAACTGCCCATTAGCATTATGGAAGTGGCTCGTGCTGTTAATTTGGCTCTACACAACTGGTGAGACATGTACTGTTTTAATTGTTCTTGATTACTTACAGGTGAATTCGGAGTTCTATACTGGGTGGCTGGATCATTGGGGTTCGCCTCATTCTGTAACCTCCACAGCAATTGTGGTCAAGTCCCTCAATGAGATACTGGAAATAGATGCCAACGTCAACCTGTGAGTGAAGAGCATCATTGTGGTGATTCTGTATAGCATCAGTTATGAATAAATTGTATTCATTCTTTTTTTCGTCCTTCTCAAGATACATGTTTATTGGTGGAACCAATTTTGGCTATTGGAATGGTAAGTCATGCAGTGTCCCTGAACAAACTAAATGTTGCCTAGTAAAAGTGAGCCACTGTATCCTAATTGATTCTTTTGTGGATATTTTAGGTGCCAACACACCCTATGCCCCCCAGCCTACCAGTTATGACTATGATGCCCCCTTGACCGAGGCTGGGGACCTCACTGAAAAATATTTTGCCATCCGCGATGTCATTAAAAAGGTAAAGATATTTACACAGGTTCTACTTAGTATAATTTTGCTTCTATTGAGGGCAAAAGTACCCAAAGTATATATATAAACACTATAAACTATAACTAACTGAAAGCTGAAGAAGATGGCCATTTTGAATTATGTTTGTGGTTTTTGTTGTTTGTAAATAGTACAGGAAAATACCAGAAGGCGTGGTGCCCCCATCTACACCTAAATTTGCATACGGACAAGTGCCAATGAAGAAGGTAAACATTGGTTTTCAGTTGATAGTGTAATAATAGCTTTCACTTAAAGTATTAGAGCTTCAACTGTTCGTAGAGCTTCAACAAAAGGTGAATCAAATTTCTTTTGTTGTCCATGCTCTAGTGGAACTCTTTTTAGTGCTATGAGGACCCCTGGGTCAACTTTGAAAAATGCTCAAAAATGGGAGGGGCACACTGGGATTGGCACTGCAGTGATGTATGGGTTTGGAAGTGGGGCTGCGAAGGAAACCGGGTGGGCTGGGTTGCTGTGTTTTTAGAGCTGGCATACATTAGCTACCAGAAAATATGGAGAGTGACAGAATCAAATGGCACTTTTTTTACTCTACTACCATCCCCATCTTCGACAAGGGAAGGTGTTTCTGATCAGGCAGTGTGTCTTGAGCCTTAACAGTATGAGCCACTGACTCAATCCGCTGAAGAGGTAACGTTACGGAATAGGAAAAAGCTAAAAGTTGCTAATAATCTGTAAAGGAAAAAAACTGCCCATTAGCATTATGGAAGTGGCTTGTGCTGTTAATTTGGCTAGAAAAGTGCTAGAAAATGATAAGCAGCGAGCGGCAGATGCGTCTGAATAGTAGAACATTCCCTAAAACCGTGATAGCAAGCTTCTAATTATCTGTTCAGCAAGTCCATATTTGATATGACCCGAGTCCTGATTTCTTAGATGCACTGAATTCTGAATGAATAAAGTGGACTTCTTTGAACGCTGTCTAAGTTTTATTCAGTTTGACACCAAGGTTGCAGACTGCATCACCGGTCAGCCAGGGTTTGCTGCAGTGGCCCTAAATCCTTACATTCTGCAAGTTGTTCATGGCACCTTGTGAGGTGGTGCTGGGGTATTTAGCTCAGCATGTGTGTGTGGTTATCTCCTCGCTTAGGCTCCTATGCTTTTATATTTATGTTTACATCATCCGCGCATATAGCAGAGGTGAACCAGAGGGGCGCTGCAGAGGAGAACTGACCACGATAAAAATGATATTTTTACAGTCTGGAAAGATGTATTCACATTTAAAGCAAGGCTGGTATATTTTATTATTACAGAGCAGTGCATTTCAGCTGTTAATGGAAAAAAGGTATTTGGGTGTAGTTACTCTTTAATGGTTTTACATTGTTCCATTTATGTTTCCTTTGTTGACATGTAATGCCAAAGTACTCTCTGGAGAGAAGCAGCCCCATATCACGATGCTCCGACCTTCATGCTTTACTGTTCCATTGGTGTTCTTGGGATCATAGATGCAGCTGTTTATTCTCCAAACATGATGCGCTGAAATTATGCCAAAGAGTCCTATTTTGTTTCGTCTAACCACAGTGCTTTGTTCCAAAAGAGTCCTGACTTGTCCTAATGCTTGTGCAAATTTTAGACGTGCATCTCTGTGCTGCTTTTTGTCTGAGGATGATTAGTTGTGGTTCCATGAACGCCGATGATCAAATTAACTATACTTACAGGGATGTTTAAAACTTCGTTAGGGCTCTGTAGCTTCTTACATTTGAGCGTTGTTTTGTAATGTTGCCCCTGAGAACTTCAGGAAGCTCTTTCTTCACCTTTACCACAACTGCTACTTGTTGCATGGCATCTTCCCAACCAGTGGCACGTATTTTAGTATTTCAAAAAAATATGTTCATCCTCATGAATGCAGATTCTTATGTTATATTTACAAGTACAATACTGGATGTCTGTTAAATAACAAAAACAGAAGTATCTGATTACTTATTGCCCCTCACTGTATGCATTCACATGGTTCTTTGGATGTTCATGGTTCTACATATACCATTGTCTTTACTAAGGAAACATTTGAAGAACCCTTGTTTAAGGGTTCTTCAAAAAGGGTAAATTGTGAATCCCAAGTACCCTGTGCTTTATGAGCAGTGCTTGTTTGTGTTTGTGCAGTTGCGGACAGTGTCGGAATCTCTGGACATCCTATCATTCTCTGGACCTGTCAAAACCCCTTACCCACTCACCTTTGAAGACCTTAATCAGGTAAAGCATACATTTGCATAGTATCAGTTTTTTGTCTTTTTTCAGCTTTTTGCCCTCCCCTAATGATTTAAAAAAGCATGATTTGGCTATAATTTGTATTAAATCATTAAAAAGGATGCAAGTACAATATTAATCACGAACAGGTGATTTTCTCTTCAGGCTTTTGGCTTTATGCTGTATCAGACCACACTTCCGGTAGACTGTCCAAAGCCCACTCCTTTGTCTTCTCCTCTAAACGGAGTGCATGACCGTGCCTATGTGACTGTTGATGGGGTAAGCAGCATACCATTATTTTATTTTAATTCTACTTTTCTCAACCATATATTATTGTTAAAAGCATTATAAGCTTATCATCTTAACCAATTGGAGAGCATTCAGAAGACTCCACCAGTATCTATTTGTTATGGCCTGTGATGGTTTTGGAAAGCCTCTGTTAAGATATAAACTATTATATAATATTTCTAAGGCAGGGTGGGATTGGTATTCTACAGAATTGCTTTGTTAAATTGCCCTTAAATTATAGAACAAGTACAGATAACACAATAACAATAGAATAAAAAATGCGTACCATTATCATATTACTGCTCTGATCCTCTGGTTCAGGTTGTTGCTGGAGTCCTGGAGAGGGACAAGGCCATCAGCATCAGCATAACAGGCAAAACCGGCAGCCGTCTGGACATCCTGGTGGAGAACATGGGCAGGGTCAACTATGGCAAAGACATCAATGACTTCAAGGTCAGCAAGAACAACAGAGGGGGGATACGTCAAGTAGTAGATGTTTTGTAGTTGGTGTTATGGACAGGGACGTAGGGCCATGCTGTGTCTCTCTATTCACACATAGTATTTTGAAGAAATGTAGGACAAAAGTGCACTAACCATTTTTTAGCAATTTTTTTGATGCCACCGTTGATTTTATCCTTAAAAGAAAAAATGTTTAGAGTTTATTATGTGGACAAAACGATGCACAAACCGAAAAACCTACAGTGAAAAGTCACTTCTGTGTTTCTGTTTCTTGTACTTTTTGCTCCTTAACTCTGAAGGGCCTGGTCTCTAACCTGACTCTCGGTGCTGACACACTCGCTAACTGGACCGTGTACAGTCTGAGTATAGACGAGGCAGTGAAGAAAGGTCTCCTCTGGGATAGTAGCTCTATTCGGACCCCCGACACGGCACCCCCCACCACCCTCTCCCCACCAGCCTTCTATGCCGGCTCTTTCAACATTCCTGATGACATCCCTGATCTCCCCCAGGACACCTACATCCAGTTTCCGGACTGGAGGAAGGTGGGACATTCATTGAATTGGTTGCATATATGCTATTATTTATAAGCTTGAAATCAATAGTCATATTAATAGTTTTTGCTATTTTGCATAAAGTTATAACTTATACAATGCATACTTATACTCATACAATGCTTATACATTTTAGTGGCAAAGCGTGACTATTAGAGTGAGGTTAAGACAAAGACAAAAGCTTTTCTACGATATTGCTAATTTCTGCTAGTGCCCATATGAGATTCTAGTAGTATGTTAGCGCTAAGCTAATAGTGATTTAAATGAACATGCTTTGGCTGGTGTAGATTAAATATGGATATTTGAAGCTTTCTGTTTTATTTAAAGCTTCTAACATATATATTAACATATTTTACCTTGTAGCAAAGAAGAGAACATCTGACTGAATCTCACTTGTACTCACTGTAACGTTTCTAGAATATAGATGTTTTTTCCCCTCACGAAATTAGGGGCTAATGCTTAGCACACATACACACCTGAATAAAGTTGGTAATTTTTTTTAACTTATAGAACTTGAAAATATTTTCATACTGCTACTGTTATACAGCATGCCCTTTAGTATCCACCTCAAAGCACTGCAGTTACATCATCAGAAGGGGTTTTTCCTAGTCTTTAAATAGAAAAAAACTCCCTTTAGAAATAATTGTGGCACCAAATCTTTACAGCAGATGTAGCAATCGTTATATTTTTCATTTTCACCAGTGTCTCTTTAAATGAACTTAACCTTTTCCTGTACAAATGGATGATACTGTGAAGGATGAAAGCCACAGACCTTGTTCTGATTGGTCTACAGAGATGCAATTTTTGTATAGTTACAGCTTAGACATGCTTGTTTTTAAGCCATATGTTTTGCTTGATTTTACATTCTATACATTTATCTGCAATCAGTCAGTTTAAAACATTGATTCCAAACTTTTGAACACTGGCATCTCCATGTGATAAAAATCAGCACCTCTAACTTTTCATACCATTGTAACTTTGTTTGTTTTTTGCCCCCCAACAGGGCCAGGTGTGGATTAACGGATTTAATCTGGGCCGCTACTGGCCGTCCCGTGGACCCCAGATCACCCTCTTTGTGCCAGCGTATCTTCTCAGCACCAGCGCTCCCAACAACATCACGGTTTTGGAGCTGGAGGCATCTCCCTGCTCCCCTGGTCCCTGCGTAGTCGAGTTCATCAGCACTCCCATTATTAATGGCACTACCAGATACATCAAGCCACTCATGAGGGAACCGCTCAGCAAACAGGATCTCTTTTAAATCTCTGCTTTCTGCACTGTTTTCTGGGAAATGTTTAAATCTACAATTCTGCAGTTCTATTTTCATTCCACCAATTGAGCCATATGTGTGTAATACTCGTTGTAGCAGTCTGAGACTTACATAGTGCACTATAGAGCACATAAACCGATGCCTAAGTAGTGCACTTTGTCTAATTCATATTGAGTCACTGGGTTTATACATCACCAGAGGCTGTTGGCATAAAATTGAATAGGAAAGAAAAATGACAATCTATCCAGTGAGATATTTCACAAAGTGCGTTTTCTCAGTTGGCTGGAGACATTTTATTATCTTTTAATGTCTGTTCTCTTTACATTGAGATCATGTAACATCTACCTCACAGGGATATATTTGTCGTATTCTAATGACAGCCTGCAGGAAACACTGGTTTACTTAAAGGGAACTTCTACTTTTAATTCTTGACTGTCCTTAGCAGTTGTGTCTATTCCAATTACGTTGCTGCCACTTTGAATCATGGCTGAATGACTCACTGTCGCTTGTCTACAGAGGACTTGTAACTTGAATCAGGGATCTTTTTTGAAGGCTTGCCTTTGGGATGAATATAAATTTTGTTTTGCACTTATCTGTTGGGGTTTTGTATGTGAAATAATATGTTGTGCTGTTTTACATGTCAAGGTTTAAGAGTCTGTATTTTATGTTGTAATGCACTGAAATTGATTCACGGTTGTGCCAATGTTGGAGATTTTAGCAGTGAATAAAAAATCCATTTCTTACTTGAAGTGTTGATTGGGCTAGTATGTAATAATATTTCATACACTATGATAAATACATTTGAAATGCCAGAAAAAACAACAGTAAAAATACTAAACCTCTTTAAGAGATGTAATGACAATCAATCTGGGCTTAGATGTACTAAGTATACGAAGAGCAATACTATAAACAATACTATAAGTGAAAGTACCTGGGACAAGTCCTGATCAGCTGGGAACCAGATGGATACCTCTAGGAAGATAGAACATTTGGTAAAGGTTTAAAATGCTAGCTCCAACAACAGAAACAGATATAGACATATTTCTGTTGACTAACTAAACTTGTACAAGCATTTAAGCTTCTGAAAACCAATAAAGATGTAGCTTCCATGCCTAAAAAATACAAATACTTTTTTGTTCCTGACCTCTTCTGGGCTTAGATGTTCAGCATGGAGCAGCCCACACAGGCCTCCTTAACAGAAAGTATTCATCAAAATAATATAACTGCAAGTTAGTTAGCTATGTCCATGATCATATTAAACACAAAACGCTAAATTAGTTTACCATTACCTTTCATCTTCAACTGCAATGACTTTTACAAGTAAACACATCATTATAATTAAAAGATCATTTTTACTTTTACACAAGTTTAGTATTTTTGTATCTTTATGGGAACCTCTCCACCTTAGAGTATTTTCAAAGACAGAAGCACCCCATCTCACAATGTCATCTCCATCCTTAAAAGCGGGCAACAAAAGTGGGAGTCCACATTGTACTGAAACCAATTCTGAACAAAGCAGGAATCCACAGTTCTTTTATCTTTGAATTTTCCATTAAATCACCTCAAATCTTACTGTTTTCACTCCACAATTTGAGGTGGCACAGAAATATGCTTCATGAACATGTTTTTTTAAATAATAAGAAACATAAACACCATCTGTGCTACAGATAGGAGAACTTGCACATGCACTCTGCTCTCTGTTGAGTCACCCCGCCCAACAAAAACTCATCGACTCCACACGATTCATGCCAAAAGTCCACGAATTTTCATGTATGATACAAGCAGGCACCCCCAGGAGGAAACATTTTATAAAGTCAACTACAAACCTGTTCTATCTCAAAGGCCCGTGACCGCGGCAGATAACGGCGAGCTAAGAAAGCGAACTGTTAACAAGTGATGCTCATTTTCATTTTAACATACAAAGAGTTCAACGCTAACAAATCACAGAATTAGGTTTGAGCAGCTAGCTAAATGTGTAACTGAAAAGATAAACCATGCATTTAGCTACTTAACTAGCTACCAAACGCGTTTTGAAGCCTTCAGAAGTTTCCAGAAGCTGATCTAAGCGCGCGCTTCTGCGTTGGAGCGTTGGCGACGACTCGGATCTCGATACAGGTGGAATGTGCCTCAATACAGGTAGAATCTGCCTCAATATAGGTGGGATTTGCCTCAATACGGGTGAGATCTGCCCTTACATATTTTGCCGGAACATCAGTTGCCGAGCCCCACCAGAGCCCGCTTGTGAGGAGCCTGGCCTTGTCCGGTTTCCCCGTTATATCAAAAACATGACCGTGAAACGCCAGAGGGCGCCCGCGAGCGGGTCCTCAATGAATGGAGGCGAATGGAGATAAATGACTAAAAACGAACGGATAAAATAGTTTCTAATCACTTGCCCGTAAAATTTCGTTAATTTTAGAAAGTAGAAGGATGTATTTCACCAAAAAGAAAAAAAGAAAACTCACCTGTATGTTTCCTTTTTTCCTACAGCAAACTTTCGGGCAGCAGGACGCTAACATTACTGCTAATCACTGACTGTTGATTGATTAGCATTACTGATACTGAGTGCTGATTGGTTGGCGAGCGGATCAGCTCATTGGCTTTCAAGCTCACTGACGTCATGGATACACATGAGGCACCATTTTAAACTCCAACACCTGGAGTTTATATTAAAAATTAAATAACGAGTTAACTATCTTGTGGTCTCAAGATAAAGTTGTAAAGTATCTTGTGATCTCAAGATAAAGTTGTTAACTTGAGATCACAAGATAATTAACAGCAGCAAAAAAGATCTAAAATAAAGTAAAATACAAACAAATCAACAAGATAAATATATAAATAAGATAGATAGATAGATAGATAGATAGGTTGGTAGTCCGGAGAGGCCATGAGCTGTTGCTATAACAGTTAACTTTAGATAACAAGTTAATTATCTTGTGATCTCAAGATAACAACTTTGTTATCGTGAAATCACAAGATAGTTAACTTTTTATCTCAAGATAACAATCCAGAAAATTTTAACTACCTCATGGCCTCTCTGGACTTCTGTAAGATGTTGAGGAGTCATGCGTTGCAGAGCTCTAGATATTTGAAGGAGGTATTGCTCTTATCATTCATTATTATAAGGGATGTAATCCAATGCTGCATTAAGCACCGACAATTTTGGAATTGAATATATTTTTTTTAATGAATAAAATGTTTTGCACATCAAAAACATATTCGACAGCGGTATTATAATCTATGTAGTGACAAATATCTTCCACAGCAGGTCGTGTTGATGTAAATGAACAAGGCGTGTTGATTGCGCAGTCCGGACGCGCCCAACACAACCGGAAAGAGCTGATGCAGATACAGATACACAGACTGGACTGGGCGGCTAAAATGGTGAGTCTGGCTAAATTTAGCCCGCGTTAATAAATATCTGTCTCTTACATAAAAACAACCAGCATGTTCGAGTAACCGAGGGGTATTCAATGTCTCAATATATGTATGGGTCAGATACCAGTTAAGCCAAACAAATTGACGTTGAAGCCAACCTGGTGTTCTATGTGTTTGATGGCGTTTCGGCTAGAGACCGGCTAGCGGCGCTGGCTAACAGCTGTCCTTTCGTTTTCTCAGAGGTTGGTTACAGACCACAGATGCAGGTTCTGCTGTGTAGCTAGTAAAGCCACTTCCATTTGGTATTTTAACTTATCATTCATAGAAAGATATTTGAAAACATATTCACTCAGGAACTGGAGTGAAAATGTGCAGTCTGTTCTCAGCCGTTAGCCTAGCAAGTCCACAGCTATTACAAACTTAGCAGTAAAAACAACAACTGACTGTAACTACAGTGTAGCTACAGATTCCCTGAAACGTGTTTTCTATTGTTATTATATTGTGTTCGCGCTTAGTTAAAATCTCAATGGTTGGTAGAGGCTTTTGATGGCGAATCGGACCCTTATCTAGGTTTTGCGGTGGTTCAGGGGTGGGCGATACTTACAACTATTTTCACGATACACGATATGCATCACGATAGTTTCTCTGAGATTTAATACGTTGGAACAGACAAAACAAAACATGTGCCACATATAAAATAATAATACTAATAGTTAATCCTACAACTACAATGGTTTTTATTCAGCATTTTACAAACTGCATTGCACTAAATTCAATTAAACAGGCCTAAATATGTCCACTTTCTAATGAAACGTATAGTTAGTCTGTGTTTTTTAAGTACTGACAATGTTTACAATAGACTCAGAAAAGCCATAATTGGTAACACTTTATTTGGAGTGGAACTTTGTAGATGATTAATAAACTCTTTACAGATCATCAGTAACACATCAACAACGTATCAGTGAAGTAGCAGTAGTGAAGCATCTCAATACATTGAAATAAACATCTTGTAGATGTTCTGTTGATACATTGCTTACATCAAGTAGATGTATTGTTAATATAGTACTTCCATTATGCAAAATCTAACCTTACCCAAAACCTAATCCTAACCTTAACCTCAACCCAAAACCTAATCCTAACCCTTGTGTGTTTTTACTGAGAGTCTGTTGAGTGTTTCATCTAAACGGACCACTCAAAGTGTCATGATATAATTTATCACAATAACAATAAAATATTGTCATATTGCCCACCCCTAAGATGGAATTCACGTGTCAGCTCAAATTTGACTCCTTCAGAGACCTTTCTAAACAAAAATAAACAGTGGATAATGTTTTTACTCAACCAGGCGTCGTCTGGCACAACTTCACATTACTGTAACTTATTGAGGACAATGAATAACTTATCCCCTTGAACCTGACTCATAATTCAGTTAATAATTATAAGAGGATAATGTCAAAATTTTTCTTGTGCTTAATTTTTTTGAAGAGCTACACTTATGATGTTTGTGTAATCATTTTTACATTAACATTTTAACCTCTCTTTATCTGTCAGAATTAAACAGGCTGCTTTTGTTGTCTGTAAGACTTGCATGTAAAATGATCCCTGGTCTGATTGCCTGCTCTCCAGGCTGTAACCGTCCTTATAGCTTCAGTATAACTAGACAGGCTAGACTGCTGGGTGATATATGTGAATGTGTTAGGTTTCTTTGACATCACAAAAAAGAACGAGTTCAAAACAGACCACTTAGTTGCCATATATGGACTGTATGCACTGTGGAATGAGTGGCAGATTTAGTAAAATACAAAAAAAGTAGAATATGGGCCTGTAATGGGTACCTGTTCATGCAAACAAGGTTCTCTTGCTCTCATTTGCCAACGTAGCCTAAGACAACATGTGGCAGTGCAGTTATTTAGTTACTATGCAGATTGAACTCTTCACTGGACTTTGTCCACACAACTGCAGACTAAACTGAATTGCTTTTCTTCTCTCTATATTTCAGTTGAGGAGCGAAATGGGACAACTATGACTTACCTCTCCCAGAATGTGACCATCAGAATCGTCCATGTATTGAAACTAAGGCAATGTTATTGGCCCTGATGGACAGAACAGGTTGTAATGATGAAGGTTCTCCCCATATATTCTTGATTAATTCATGCCCAAGACAGTAAAGAGATGAAAACTCTTGAATTCTTCAGAATTCAGTTATAAAGGACTTCAAAACATAGGCTAAAGGAGAGCCTACAGCCTACACTACTATACACAGGACTTACAGAAGACTCCTTTTACCTCAAAAATGGTCGATAATCGTTACGCCACGGCGCTAGTGATCGGCTCTGTTTTGAGTCTGTTGGCTAGCGTGTATCTGTCGGTGGCAGTGGGCACTCAGCACTGGTACCAGTACCGGAGCCTGCCAGCTAGCAATGATGCCATGAACGGCTCGGACCTGCAGATGCTGAGGGAAACTTTTAAGTCTGAAGATGTGAGTGAGAAGACGTACAGTGAAGCCCTGTTCCGCCTCAACGGCACCCTGGGGCTGTGGTGGCGCTGCATTCTGGTGCCTCGGGAACCACACTGGTTTAAACAGCCTGGTAAGGAGAAGATTGAATAATTAGTTTAAGCTCTATTGCAAAATTGTGCTTTAAAGTAGGCCAGTTTTTTTTGGAATGATCATTTATTTATTTTCATCTAGTAAACCTTCTAAGGCTTGTTTTATCTACACACACTGGCAGAAGTTGTAAGTTTGTACAGTTTTTTAAATCATGTTGTTGTCATGTACACAGAAAAACAGACAGATGGCTCAGATAGCAGCACAAAAATTGAGGTGGGATGCACTATATGTCCTAAATTATTAGGGAATTCAGTGACCTTAAGGTGCACCCACTGCTGATACTGGTGTTCAGTTGTACACACAGGTTGTATAATGTCCTTAGAAAAGTATTGCCAATAGAACTTAATGCTCTGGAACAGCCACCCATGGGCCCAAGATCATTGTGCCTAGTGCCAGTTATTGGCAAGAGGTGTATACAACTCCCTAGCATTGTGAAGCTGTGTTCTCTAGAGTGATGGAGCTCCATTTAATACTTTAGGGATGAGTTGGAATGGGGTTTGTGATCCAAAACCAACAACTACCTGACCTGACCTCACTAATGCTTTCTTAATCGAATGCAGTAAAATCTTAACAGCAATGTTCTGAGATCTAGTTTAGAGCCTTCCCAGAAGACGAGATTTGTTTTATTTCCCTTTTCAGTATGTTACACAGAGACACTTGGGACCATCGCCGTTTTGGTTTCTAAGAAGTTGTATAAAAATGTTCAAAAGGTTTATTCTTTTTGCTAAAGTAAAGCATCTCCTTCTCTCCCTGTCTCTGATGCTTTCTTCCTTTCTTTAGAAACTAAAATGATGACTGACTGTGAGTCCTTCACTTTGCCCCAGCAGTTTGAAACCAAGTACAAGCACCCTGGCAACTCCAGTAATGATGAGGATCTACTCCGCACTTGTAAGTGGCCTGATAGCTGGGCAATATAGCAAAGAAATATGTAAAGTGTCACAAATGTACATGAAGACATTTTTATGATACGCACAATACGAGTCACAGTTATGTTTTTTTCGGCAGTGCCAATTAACACGTCTGTAGCAGGTTTTCCATCCACCAGTTTTTTGTGAATTTTGAAATGTAAAAAGCCCGAAATTTGAAAAAAATTCCCCAATATCGCAAAAAATGTTTTACGCTAGGACAAGGTGGAAAAGTAAGAATATCGCTAAAGCCGAAATGCAAAAATGGATGATGGAAAAGAGTTTTTCGAATAAACAATGACGCTGCAAGCCGTAAGCAAGAAATGATTGGCCCTACAGACGGTCCAGTCGTGTTGCATAGCTTTTTTGAAGGTTGCTTTCAACATTCTGAAAAGCCTAATCTAAAGCTTGTATGAATAACAGCTCTGCACAACATGCTTCCAGAATTGTCTGGTGCGTTTGCGTTCACATATGCAAGGTGTACGTTGTTGGTGTGGCAGATTTCAGCCCTCAATAGGTGGGCCATTGCTCATCCTGCCTGGTGTCTCTGAGCTGCAGACAATCATAAAAGATGGCAAATGGCTGTAAAGAAAATTGTACTTAGAGCAGAGTGAAATCTCTGGCCCTTGCTCTTTAAAGCAGCCCCTAATCATGGTAGCCTACGTCACCTAAAGTTTCTTTGCATAACTGTAGTGGATGGAAGCACGACTTAATTAGATTTTTTTCCGAACTAAATTTTGTAAAGGCGCATAACATTTGTGAACGTTTGAATGGAAACCCGGCTAATGCGACACTTCTGCATGATCTCAGAATGGTCTTTGAAATATTTTCTCCCTTCTGCTGCGCTAAGATCTGTGGAGGTGTCGGTTCTTGTTCCCACTGGTGTCTCTTGGGCTGGTGTTTCTGGGAGCGCTGATCGGAGTTTGTGCCTGTCTCTGTCGCAGCATCACCCCCACCCTGTTTGTCGGGTTACTCCATCTGCTGGCTGGTAAGATGTCCTAGATACACACATGCACACTTTTCAATGTCAAAGATGTTGAAAAATTTACTAGATAGACTTGAGTGGCATCTTTCAAGAAAAGACTGCTGTCAATGTCATTTTCATGTCAGTTCACAAGGAGTCATCTGCACTGTTGACAGCTTGATCTCTGGTTCCTTTCACCATCGCTGTAAAGCAGTCCAAGTCTCTATATTCCTCCATTTCATATCAAACCACTCCGAATTACTTTGTGTACATTGCTAATTGGATTACTCAGGAACAAATTTCTCTTTAAATGACCGCATGTTTGTCCGCTCCTTTCTGTAGGCCTGTGCTCTCTGGCTACAGTATGCTGTTTCCTAGCTGGAATAGACCTGCTGCACAGAGCATTAGATTGGCCTGAAGGGATGGACTACTCTCTGGGCTGGTCACTCTACCTGGCGCTCGTCTCCTCGCCGCTCCAGATGATGGCAGCTGCTCTCTTCATTTGGGCTGCCAGGAGCCACCGGAAAAACTACACCCGCATGACAGCCTACAGGGTCGCCTAGTCAGTGGTGGACCCCGCCCTCCCATGCAGCCATCTCTGTAAACCAGTGTGAACAGCTGCATGGTTTCCTAGGAGTCAGGTTTTTCTAAAAAGCTCAGCCCACGCTTTGCTTAGGCTAATGCTTGACCACTAACTGAAGGACTGCACCTACTCAAGACAACAGTTAACAGGCTTGTACTAATCATATGTTCCTTGTCCATGTATACCCACTTTTGATCCCAAGTGCTTAACTCGAAGAGGCTTTCACCTTCATTTTATTACCTCCTTGTTTACCACTCTGTTAGACCCCACAGACACCAAATGGACCCATGTTCAGAAAGTACCTAAATATTCCCGAACATGTAATGTAGTATCACCTGAGATCCACCCATTCGACTTCCAATAGATTTTGTAAGGGAAACAGATTTATTATGACAAGTGAATGGTTTTACTTTTTTAGATGGCCTGGACTTTTTTTGTAATTTTGATTTTGTGTGATCAAATTCACGGCAGGACCTGTGGTTTTTGTTTTTCATTTTATTTGCTTGTGTTGCACCTGTGTCTATTTGAAATTATGACTCACAAGCAAAATTATTTTTAGGGTACTTTGGCTCTTAATACCACCTAAATAGGCAAGAGCCTAGAAAAGAGCAAACAAACTAGAATTGTGGCCTGCTGGAGATGGTTCAGTAGCAGGAACTGGTACCAGAAATGCCAGGAAATAGATTATTTAGCATGTTTTGAAAAATAGATATGTTCTGTTAAGCAGTTTGCCACTAAAGGGAAAGGGAAATTTCCTCAGATGTTTTAAAATTTCTGCATAATTAAATTATTAAGATGATAAACAGTCATTTTAAAGTGGCCTGATGTGAAAAGCTTCATTGCAGAGTAATTTACTGCATTAGGATTGTTCACATTAGTGGTGACATCCTAAGTGTTTACCGTCTTTAAAAGCTACTTCACAAACAGTTATGTGAAATGGATATGAATACACTGCCTGATTTTTGAGACATCGTATTATGATCTGTTTGTAACCATTTTTCTGCCTGACACATTTTTTCAAAGTTTGTTCCTGGAGAGGGACAAGCAGGGTGCTGTAAGGCAAACAGACACATATGTAGCTTCATCAGTCATTTAGGATATTATCCACATCAGCCTGATAGGCCTGAGGAGTTATGTCACACGCAAGTAGCCATTGGCAACAGTAAATCTATCAATTGCAGTGTGTAGGACCGGAGCTTTCTATGTGCCCTCATGTTTTCTATCACTGTATAAAAGATGCATGAGGCTTCCTCTCTCACTGGGCACCATATTTCCCCCACAGCCCTCCATCACCACTTTTCTTTTTGGATCAACCTAAGTAGACATCACCACCCCTGGTTCCTGGCACCAAAGAAAACATGTAAAGTGTGTAGTTTCTCTACAGACAACTGTTTCACATCAAACCACTCTGAATGACTTCACAACTCAGTGACTGAATTAAGCTGAAATTTTCCCATTTAAGCCAGATAGCCAGATTTCATCTGAAGACTCACCTCAATTAATTGCCTAGATCTCACGTTTCCTGTGTTTGTGTGCATTGGTAGAAGTTTTTCGATGTAAGCAGTTTCTAGTTTTGTCCACATGAATGCAGTATGTAGCATAAGATTTATATTAGATGTGTAAATATGCATGTACAATGATAAAAAAAGAATGCCATAAATTCTTGCCTTTGTTTCTCAAACCAATAACACAGCAGCTCAGTGTGCAGCAATATTATGAGCATCAACCACTTAAGCCTTTTTACCTTTTTCTTGTATATGTTTTGGATTGTGGTCTTCACTACAGTGTGGTCTTTAAAGCTGTATTGGTTTCTCGGCTGGATTGCTGTCAGATTGGTTTCTTGGTGGTTCAGGTAACCACTGTAATACCACTAAGCATGACTGTTGTGTGCGTGTGCGTGTATATATATATATTTTATAGTTTATTTGGAATGTTTTGTTTTCATTTTGCATGTGCCTCATTACCAATGCTGTGCTTGACCTTCTTTGTAATGTTTGAATTTTTCTTGAAGATTGTCAGAAACAAGCTTCTTTCAGAAAACAGCTAGAAATGCACAAGTGAAGAACACAATCAATACATGCAATACATTAAATCTGGGTTTAAAGATTACCTCACTCTGCAGTGTATGAGGGCAGATCACTGTGACATCTCAACAGTGTCCAAAACACTCAGCATCTTTCTGCCTTTTATACATATTTTTATACGTCTTCATTCCAAGTGATCACAATAAACATCTTTTCTAGTGGAATATTTATTTGGTGACTTCATTTGGTGAAGAATTGAGTGTAAAAATGAAGTTATGTTTAAAATTGTACGTTTCAAGTGATACATTACACTTTATAGGGCATCTTATAGAAAACTGACTGATCGTACCATCTATAATAATGCCTATAATAATCACAGTATTAGAAGATTAATATACCTAAGGTTGTGGTTTGTAAGAGAACATCGGTACTGAGGATCAAATTATCAAATACATTAGGCCTCATGCACGCACCAAGTCATACTCGCTGCTTTCATAAGTACTATTGTAATTGGAATTCTTGGCAACACTATTATTTGGACAGTCCACTTTAGATGCTTTGTAGATACTTAATTTGCTTTCAAGTTACATTCAGGTAAGATCTATTAAACTGACCATAATTTAAACTCTAAACCTGGCTTACCTTAACCTCAACCCTGGTCCTAGCCCTAACCCTGGTCCAAATACAAACTCTAACCCCACCACCGTTTAGAATCAATTCAGATTTTCAACAGTTACTTCGTTAACAACTACATCAGTAGTTAATCTATGGGGGACTATCTAAAAAGAAACAGAATTTTTTTTTAGGCCGAGGATAAAAGTTTGGAGCAGTCTAATGAGTCAAATGCAAGTAGTCTGTCGTATGCAAAAGCAAGAAAAAAATAAATTGGATATAAAACTCAAACTAAAATTTTTAATTTAATTACTAGAATATTAACTTTCATATAAATTGTCTGTTAAGGCTATTATTTAAAAGGCCCATATTGGGAAGTATTTCAGCCCTTGTTTGTGAAAAATACACAGTACAGGGCAGCCAATCAGAACAGGGCTCATTTACATATAAAGCATGGTAAAAAAAAAAACAGGCTGTTTAATTCTAAGGGATAAAGAGAGGTTGGAAATTGTCATATAAAAATGAATTATGACCTCGGGGGAAGAAATACAATGTAAAAGAGTAAGATATGGGCCCTTTAACATTGCAATATTGTCAATATCCCTGCAAAATGACTTAATAAGGCCGGGTTTCTGACTTTACATGGCATTAGTAAGAGAGGGGTGTTAATTATGCAAATTCATGATTCACATGACAGCGCATAAATTACAGATTCCCAATTAACATGAGCCGATCTACAAACTGGTGACACGTTTATGCAGTTACAAGTGTTTTCTGCTGCTCAAACTCACACGATCTACTAAATTAAGACATGATTTTGGCATTTTTGTGCGTAGATCGTCTCCTGCACCCCTGTTTTCATGACCCCTCTTTAGAATCTCTCTCACTCTTTCTTTGCTTGTATGCTCGGAATAGTCCAGGTCCTCTTTTGAGCCAGATGGAAGGCAATTCCCTTTTCATAGTAAGCAGCCTCGTTTATGAAGAAAGGATGGAGTGGCTCTTCTTCTTCGTACCTCACTGTCTCTCCAGAGAAGGTGAGGAACATGGGATCTCCACGTTTGAGGAGACAGAAGTCTCGATCCTGGAGGAATGATATGAACCGCTTATTTATTCACTAGGCTCCAAGATAACGAACTGCCTCACTAGACATTTTCCAACTGTAATCTTGTAATGATAAGAGATAATAAACAGGCTGCCCACCTTGTAAAACTGAAAAAAGTCAGTGGTTAAACACTAAATAGGCTACAACACTGGCAGGAAATACTATAAGCTAATAAATGGAGGCTAACTTGGGGTAAGGTTAAAGGTTAAAAAGCCCACCTCCTTATTTTCTCTCATGAGGAAATGATGGGCAGTGCTGACACATTTATCAACAACAGTGGTCTAATTAATACTGTAATTCTGGATCACTACATTCTCCAGTAACATTTTAATGTTTCTGTTAATGCTTTAATGTTAATAGACAATAGTGGACAGAAAGTTCATTGGAGTTTCATTGGCTAGCTAGCATTAGCATTACATGCTAGCTGTAGATTGAGCTCCATCCACACCTGATCTGTTAGGTCATGTGCACTAATCATTTGCACTCATGAGTTACCAATGATGAATTCCACTGCTTTGTTTGAATTCCACTGCATTAACAACAACAAATAATTATGTAATATAATGATGATACTATGTAATTAAAAGACAATACAATATGGATATTTTAAATATTTATTTTACTGCTAATTGCCTTTATTCATAGTTTATTGAAATGCAGTAGAATCATCAAGGCATAAATCGATAGTGGCCTCATTTTTCATCTTAAAATGTGCTATTTTTAGTTGTTCTAAAAATGTTGTATTAATACAATTTCGGAAAAATACAAGGACTACATATTACTTGTCATATACATTTTATTACAGTACTGTGAAAAAATCCTTTCCTTCATTTGTTTAACTTCCAGTCAAAATGGCCATTAAGTTATTCATGTTCCAGTGTCAAGTAAAAAAAAATACAACTTTTAAAAAAAGCCTGAACAACTAAATATATTTTTTCAATATTTGGTGTGTCTATTCTTTGCCTTTATTACAGCTTCCTTTCTTTTTAGGAGACTCACTTTCAAGTTCTCAAGAGAAACCTGCAGGGATGTTTTTTCACGCCTCCAAAGTTCAGTCTTAGAAGTTGCTTTTGGATTTTCTGCTTCTCACAATCCAAGCAACCCCAAACACATTGAGTGATGTTGAGGTGTGGACGGTGGTGAGTCCACATTCTGAGAACACTAGAGGCGTATTTTCGTCCCGTTTTATCAATAATTATTTTTTTTATAGTCTAGTTATGAACACTCCTGTTTCACTTATTTTTCTTTGACATTCCTATTTCTTATGCAACTTATGTTTAATCACTTCAGAAATATCTCCTGAAAAATTAATAACTTGAGCTTAATGTTTTTTTTGACTGAAAATTAAAAACACAGATACTGTATATATTGCCCCTGTAGATAGTACTGTACTGTATATATTGTGTAAAACTGAGGTGACAAATTCATGCAAGCTTCACCAGGGGGCCTTCTTACCCCAGGCAGAGTCAAGTTGAACAGTGGGTCAAGATGACTTTTTCAGATTTTCTCTTTTAGCAGGCACTTTCCCATTTTCCCCTACTGTTAAACTTGCTAACTAGGTTATGGTATGAGTACAGACAATCCAGATGCCATTACCTGCAGTTGAGGGTGGACGGCAGCTGAGGGGGTCTTAGTCTCTGGGTCTCGGGGGTAATCTACACTCTTTTCAAACATGAAAGCTTCCACATCCCCTCCTTCAATTACTTCTCCTACAACACACAGAAAGCATTGTGTTGGCTTTTCAGGCATATCCAGACTTTTTGTAGTTGCAGTTACATATTAAACCTTTAAAAAGAGCCTTCAACCCTAATCAATAAGACAGATTTCTCAGCTCATAAGATGTACCTGAGTTGAAGTTTTTAACCCAGTCCAGAACGGCATTAACTCCCTCCTTCATGGCATTAAAGATGTCTGCCCTGACGACGCCTTGTGGCTGTGGGCCAACCTCTAAACCTGGGCAACCACAACCATAGGCCAGTTAATACTGCACACAGAACTGTATGTTGTACAAAACAGGCATGTAGCCCTAAACCAAAACACTTACTAATGCCATACTTGGACAGGGACTCCAAAGAATAAGCATCGCAGATTGGAATATTCAGCAAGACCAGTCTCACAGGCACTGTGGTTATTTTTTCCTGTTAAAAAAAAAACAAAACATCCATAAATAGGCAATGATGTTTGCCTGTGTAAAGAGTCAGCAGTCTTTTTTCAGAAAAAAAAGCTAGAAAGGTAAAGAACTGCGAGCTAATCCTACAGTCTAGTTCCCAAGCGTCAAACACAAGGCCCGTGACACTTAAAGATCCAGCCCATGACACAATCCTATCCGGCCCGCAAAAATATTTTAATTTTCTGTTAAAATTAGCTTGTTGTACAGTGCACTACACTACAGTCCCCAGCATGCACTGCAACGTAATGTGCGCTCTGACTCTCCTACCCTAACAACAATCTATGGGACAAGTTACACCTTAGTTCTACACAATTCTATACAGTTCCACACCAGTTGTATTACCAAACAACTGCAGTTCAGGAAATATATACAATTAACGTTAGCTCAGCAGCTCAGAAATTAACCCCAAGTATTAATGAACTTGCAGCAAACAAAGGATTCCAGGTGTCTAGTTCATGCAAATAGGTAGGTTTAAAAGACCTAGATCCTGGTGATGTTTAAATTTTGAGTATTTCAAGTATTCATGTAATATTTCAAGGTCTACTACAAGTTCCTACATGTTACTGCTGAAAATACTGAAGACATCATTAACGGAGGAACAAAAGGGAAACACAAAGTTTATTCCTTTATCCTTTTTCCCAACCAAAATGATTGAAATGGACAGCTAAGGAATGCCCTCAGTGGCTTAAAGTAGATAGCTGAAAGAGGGAGGTTTGTTTTTTTTATTTATTCATTTATATATATATATATATATTTTGAAGAGGAGAGGAGAGGAGAGGAGAAGGGTCTGAGCACAGCACATGCACACACCTGAGAGTAAATTCAAGAAGCCTCTGCCAAAATTACCGGCCAGGCTGCTGCCAGAACTCTGAAACAGCAGGACTGAGCAGAGTCTGTGGGTGAGCTCAGCTTAAGGAGGATCAGATACAGGTGTCACTAATTACCCTTCATTACCACAGGAATGCACTATGACTCCCTCTGGTGGCTGGCCGTGGGATCACAGAGGGCCCAGACCAAGACCTTACATGACTAAAACCAAACTTCAGCTGCAAAATCAGCTGCAAACCTCAAGAAAGTTGTTTTATATATAATTTGATGTTTTATTTATTATCAAAACTAGGGAACTTTCATATGTGGTCCTAGATCGAATACCTATCCGATTCGTGGCCATGCGACCTTAATGTGAACGCTCGGATCAGAATTCATGTGCTTTTTTCCCCACTGCGAATGCGCCATCATTCAGAGTTACCATGGCAACAGCGCCAAACAAAAGTTAAAGCCTGTAAACGGTGGAAAAGCAACACATCTCACCTTTTTTTCTCACTCTAATAACAAACAGCTGAGAGCTGATCAGAGTTAACTTTCTTTGCAGTGAAGGCTCGTTCTGCTCGTTAGTTTGTTTGCTGATGCACGTGGCGCATGTGATTCATTGTGACGTTACTGAGTAGGATGTGCGCAGCGGGTCATTTCAGGACACCAGTTCGTTCACATTAACGACAGATTTGAATCACTTACATAAAATGAGTGTGAACCATCATGTCAGAGAGATCGGATTTGAGCAAAAAAATCTGATTTGAGCAATGAGGCTTGTAATGTAAACATAGCTTTAGAGCTTTTACTAATTACAGTGCATTTGATTCACAAATAACTAATGCAAAGTTAGGATACAGCACTGTGCACTGGCGTTTTTGTCTTGCCTGCAGGTATTTGAAAATGTGCAGGCAGATCCAGTTGGTGTGTGAGTAGGAGATGACGGTGAGGCCCATGTTAGCAGTGGTGTTATGGAGGTCACAGATCAGGTCTGCGGCATCATCGGTTTGTTTAGGACCCAACAGAGAGTTCAGCTCCTGAGCTCTCCGAACTTCATAAGGAGTGGAGTCTGTGATGGGAGAACTGTGAGAGACAGTTAGTTTTCATTGCATTCTGTACCTTCGCTCTGGTAAATCATTCTGAAAGATGGAAGCCCTATTTGTACTAGCAGTAAACCCTGAAAGGCCCATATCACTTTCAAAGTTACTGCACTTTTAAAGTTTCAAAACCTACTGTTCACTCTTTTTGAATTAATCAATTCACTGTTTTTGTGATGTCACAAAAAAGCAACACATTTTGGGACTGAGCAATATGACAATTTATACAACAGTTAGTTCCGGCCACACAAGCTGATTGGTTGAGAAGCGTTCTAACTGCGCTGCTATTTCACCATAACATCATGGGTTTTTCACAAACACTGTATCACTCCGCTGAGACGCCGCTGCTAAGCAACGACTTTGACAGCTGTAGGAGACGTTCAAGCCATTTAAACGTTTTTACTTCTTACTCTGCGCACAAACAGAAAATGCATACTTTTAAGATCACATTTGACCCACAGCCGATTTGGTCAGACTCTGGATTTAGTGCAACATAGTATGCCAAATGTTGAAAAAGGTTGTGTTCACAGTTTTGATACATTTTTATTAAAATGTAGCACTAGTGTTTCTTTTTTCAGTTCCAACGGATCAGATGTCTGAAAAAATAAATATTGTGACATACTGTATATGGAGAAATTTTCTTGAAGTATTGAGATATTAGGTATTTGTCCTATAGCCCACTTCTAACACATTTACACAAATCCACCTATTTCGTCTACAGCAGTTTGGCCCCGCCCACTCATACTCAATTTATAAAGGGTGTTCCACCCTGGACTACTTTTTGTACAATACAGAGTAGTACAATACAGGACAGCCAATCAGAACAGAGCTCATTTACATATATCAGTCTTAAAGGCACAGTAACAAAAACAGCCTGATTAGTTCTTAGGCATAAAGAGAGGTTGGAAAATGGTATAAATGTTATAACTGGACATCAGAGGAAAAATTACAATATATGAAAAAAATAACAATATGGACCCTTTAAATATCCAAGAATGTAATGTAATCCCACTACTGACCTGAGGATAGTATTGGTGAAAGCAGCGGTTCAGGTCCTTATCCACATATCGCTTGCACTCTTTGGTGGCTCGAGGGTTGGACAGCACCGTGGTCAAAGGAACAGGCCATATTGCATCCCCCTTCTCTTTCCTCTGTCTCTCGAGCTCAGGGACCAGAAAAACTCCTGACATCTCATTGCCATGGGTACCACCGCAAACAGCCATGCGGCGCAGGGCCGGTAAAGTGATCAGCTCCATCTGACAACAACAGTGATGTTAATCATTTAGATCAGCTATAGCGCTATTAATTCACTTCATTCAAATTCCACATGAATATAATGTATTACATATAAAATACAATACATCACTATATGGAAATTTTGGTGATGTCATGTATTTTAGTCATATGGAACCCATGCAGACATTTGAATCAAGTCAATCCATAGCACAGTGTACGGGAACAAAGACTATCACATGCAAAACTTCTACATTTACGTATACATGTATACACAGTACAACGCAAAATTCAGAGACCTTTTATGTATTTAATTTCCAGTCAAGCTATTTCTGAGGTAAAATTAGTAAAATAAGTGAAAAACAGGTATACTTAGCCTGGGGTTCAAGCTACTGAAAAAATCGGACTCCTAACAACCATGCAAGACCTGGTAGACCACCAAAATGGCCCCCCATCAGATAAACAGTACTTATATCCACTCTTACTTCAGATCTGAAAAAATTACACTGTGAGAAGACAAACTGTGTAACTTCTAAGACTAAACTTTGGAGGTGTGGAAAAATATCCCTGCAGATTTCCTTGGAAAACTGAAAGTCTCCTGAAAAGAATGGAAGCTGTGATAAAGGCAAGAGGTGGACACACTAAACACTTAAAATATGACATATTTAGTTGTTGAAACTTCTGCGTATTTTTCTGTTAGATTCTGTTTCCTGCTTTGAATGAACAACTTGTATTGACTGGAACTTAAGTAAATGAAGAGTGGTCTCTGATTCTGCACAGTACTGTACATACAGTATGACCATTATTAAATCCTCGGTTTGCGATACTTCTTAGCATGAAGCCGTTCTTCTGCCAGCACATATATTTTTCTAAGCGTGTACCTTATTTATATTTACATTGAATCCTTGAGGCTAGGGGGAGAACAGCGAGTGCTCTACAGCAGTTTCTCAATCCTGCTCCTGGAGGCCCACCACCCTGCACATTTCAGTTCTTTTCCTGCCCCTTTAACTCAATAATGTGCTGTTAATAAGCTAATTAGTTGGATCAGGTGTGTTGGGAGCAGAGGAAAACTCTAAAAGGTGCAGGGCAGTGGGCCTCCAGGAAGAGGGATGAGAAACACTGAGAATGAACCAGACTTATTGTATTGGTAGGAGGCACCACTAGGGATGCTAGTGAATCTGGGACACTAAGCTGAATCTCAGCTTCACGCCACACCACTGTGCCACCTCAAGAGGTCTTGAGGACAACAGTTTGTTATTTATTAGCACAGCTGCTACTGTGCAGAATGCATGGTGTTATAAAGTTAATATTTCATCTCCCAAAGAAAAGATTTACTACTATATCATCATAATCAATGTTACACTCAGAAGACGTAGGTTCAGTGGTCATTTTGGATAATAAATAAACTGGCTATATTTGCATTCACTGAGATCAATGGCTTCATTCTCCACCATTGTAAAAATACACAAGCTGACAAGTTTCTCTACAATGAACGCTTTCATATCAAGCCATCTTGAAAGACTTTCGAATTTTGTAGAAATTAAAAAAAAATCTGTGCAATAATCCCTTTTGTTTGCTGTGTTGTTTGTATTTTTTATGAAATTGGCAAGGAGATAAAGGGGAAAATTAGCATTCTTTTTTTCGTCTTTATAACAGCAAATTACTTGTTCAGTCTTTACATACCGTCTCCTCTATGTCCGCCCACTCACTCTGCAAGCAACCGCTAACTGTTTGCAGCTACACAAGCTAGAATGGAACAGCAGCGAAGTTCAAAATCTCATAACCATGAAGAACAACAATACAACACTACTAACACTACTTAAAGTAACAGTGATAAAAATAATAGTGTTTGGATCCCACTTAGTTAAGTTCTATTACAGTTTGGTTATGTTTGCTTCATTTAACTTCCTATTCACAAAGTGAAAGCAGAGTAGAAAGACATATAAGATTCTTACCATGCGCTAGTAGTGAGAGACAGACTTCCCAGCCTTTGTCTTGCCGTGTTTTTGAAGTTACACAAGGCAACCGCAGACCTTTGAACCTACAGTGACTTGCGACTAAAGAGCAAGCGTGCACAAGCTACAAATTTAAATCAGCAGTGACCCACTACTGCAGCTAGCTTGCTAAATCAGACTAGACTGCTATGCGTACAAAGTCAATGCACCACGATATACGTCACCCCCCCATGCATACACACACCACGCATGCACGCCTTCAGGGTGGACACACACTCTCCGCCACCCATTCTGCTACTTGACCTCTACACCCACACACGCCAACACTAACACTAGCGCTTCACTAAGAGCTTCCTCAGGTTCCTATCTCCACCCCTTCCCTCTCCTCCAGTGTACTTCCTCATATGGCCACCACCCTGGATCATTTTTCACCCAGCTGTAACAGTAACTCTCTTCACTGGGCAGCTCTGGATAGACCTGGGGTCAGTCTTCCTTTCTCAAAAAACAACCGCAGTCATTCTAAGATGCACAGCATACTGATCTCAGAGTAGCGAGAAGGAAAAAACACACAGGACAACTGTCAACATTATGCTGAGTCATCCAAACTCAGGAGAAAAGGGGAGGAGGAGAAAGGAAGAGACAAATCAGAAGGAGGGAGGCAGAAGAAAAGGAAGTGGAGCGTTTATAGTTGCATCCAAGGAAACTTAGATGCAGTGTAGAATCTTTGGTCTGTAGGCGCTTCAAGTGGGAACCATCTAGGAAAATGTGAACAGAAAGCAAGAGGTCTCTAACGCGTTCCAACATTTGTAGACACTAAACAGCTGTTTTGTTACATTTTGCTGAGCAGTCCTGATACAATTCAGTGTTATTATTTAAAATCTATCACTGTATGACATGATATTTAAGTAAGAGGTAATAAAATTTAACAAACCTATGCTTTCTGAGTACTGGTAAGAGTTCTTTAGTAAAGGCAATGGTTCCATTTAGAACTGTGAGTTCTGGTGAAATGGATCTTCAGACTGATGGAGAATGTGTTTTATATAGTTTTATATAGAAAAGTTTTGAAAATTGTTCTATATAGCACCAAAAAAGGTTCTTCTACTGTTACAAGCTTAACATCTGAATTCTATAGAATTTTTTTATTTCTCCATAACGCCAATCCAGGAACCTTACCGCACAGTAAACGTTAATGTTAACTAAAAAAGAAACATTTCCACAAAAGAAACTTACTAATACTAAAAACCCGGTATTGATGTATAACTCCAATACTGGTTTACCAGTAGAAACAATATACTGCCCAGCACTTCTGTAGCCTATAACTTTCTATTCACTGATTAAGTTTACCTGTTTAAAATGGTTTCGTGCTATTCTATACCTTCAGGAAATATCACTTAGTATAAATGGCAAGCACTATTTATTACAGTTATTAGAGTATGTTAGGAGTTATAGTATGCATCAACATACTTGTGACAATTCACAAAATTTGTAAGCATAATAGGAGCGCTCAACATTATATAAGTACAATACTGGAGACTTTAGAATGGCACAGTGGAGCTTCCTTTAAACCATTCAGACTGGTTTCCCAGCATCAAGCAGTGCCCCAAGCTAATATATTAGCCCTGACTTAACAATACTGTTCAATGTGTTGTATTGTTACAAGCCTAATAAAGCATTGCTCCGGAGGGAGGATGTAAAAAAAGTCATTCAGAGTGGCCTCATGTGAAATTCTTTGTTCAAGACAAGCAAGTCAGACTTGTCCACAATGGTGGTGATGGGAAGTTTAATGACCCTAAAAGCTCCCTCACAGAGAGTTATTGCATGCAACAGTTATGAGTAGACTGCCTGATGTCTGAGACATTCTTTTACAAAAGTTTTACGATAAGTTTCTGGGCTACAATGTGTTTTTTTTAGGTTTATTACTATTTGACCATTATCAACAACACACCAGAATTCAGGAGACACATGCAGGTTCACTGGTGGTTTTGGATAGTAAATAAAATGTCTATATTTGTGTTGTAGACATTGCGACCCTTGGCTCCTATCACAACCAGAAATCGGAGCTGGCTGTTTCTCGGAAAAGTGTCATTTCACATCAAACCACTCTGATTGACTTCGTTTACATCTTAACCATAAATTATGCAGACATCTTGAAATTTGAAAAAAAATGGCCTTTAAGCATTTGCAACAACCACACTGCAACCGAAACTGACTGTAAACGGCAGTGAAACTTCTAGAATAAGAAAGTGCTGAAAAATGATTGGCTAACCTGTTCATCCCTCCATATCTGTTGTGCTTCTCTCATTTTCTGGGTCCTCTTCTGTCACACATTCTCCCAGTGCTGCTGTAAGAGCTGCTCAGATAAGACGTTTAATCCAATTGAGCTGATCACACACACTTACCGGACTTACAGAACACACACATGATTCACTTGGGGTGGATACTGACTAGTTTATTAGCCCATTCAATTAGAATCATATAATTGTATCAACTCAAATATTACATTATATTATAAATAAATTAGGCTTTAGCTCTGTCGCCCTCTGTTGGTTGTTAAATAGTATTATTTCACTCAAACACGCACACACCTGGCAGCTTACCAGATAAAATGATCATATCATACATAGCTGCAGGGTGGTCAGGCTTGCAATGGCCAACTTTGGGTACGAAGATGTTCTAGCCAGAGTACAAATACATCATCAAAAGGAAATTAAATCTCCCAAATAAAAATGATTTTATCACAAATAATTCCTGAGTGAGGTCCTTAATAGATGTGTGCACAGATGTTCTAGAGTTATTATCATGTTAATAAAGTCCTCCTATAAATCATGTGTTTTAGTCTCTCTGTTCTGCCTGCTTTCTTAATGACTTCTACAGTCAGCTCCATAATTACTGGCACCTTTGATAAAGATGGGTAAAAAAAAAAGGGTAATGAAAAACATTTTTTATGTCCTAAATATATTATTCAAATACACAGATTAGAGATCAGTTGAGTCTCAGGTGATGCCATCATAGGGTGTGATTTTGCTCTGTAGGCATGTTTAATAAGCTAGGTGACAAAATTTCATGGTCATTGTGAAAAAATGTGGTTCTCTCAGCTAAGTTAAGTTCAGTATTAATTTTAACTGAAGGCTTAGACAACTTTCCCTCACTTTCTTCATGATTACTCACCTCCATCAGATTCTGCTCCTTCAGTCCTGTCAGTCTCCTTCAGCTTCATTCTCTCCCTCTCTTCCTGTGTTAGTATTACATTCATGTTATTAATCTCAGATTTACAAGAAATACTAATGTGAAATAATGAGAGATTATTCAGGTTTTTTTTTGTTTTTGTTTCACTGGTAAAACAAATGGAGGTTGAAGTGAGGGATATAACATTGCGTTATAATCAACACCAACGTTATATGACCTTTTCACTGACAATAACGTACTGTAAACAATCATACATAACAAATACTGTTGTTACTGTTTCCAAATACTGAAAAGAAATATAAAAACAAAAAATATCAAAACCTGTCAATAATTATTTCTATCTCTGTCACTCGTTCACACTCTCACTGTAAACAAAAGTTTCTTCAAATTCTTAAACTAGATGGCTTGTCAGCTTGCTAGCTAACGTTAGCTTAGCCCCTTCTCTTTCTTTTCTTCCTAAAGTAAACCCAAAGTTAGCTAACAAGCAACTGAGTAAAAGGAAATTACATCCTAGTAAAAACCCGGATTGCCAGCTATACTGACCATGGTTTGCTTCAAATCCATATTGTATCTTCACTCTGTAACTACTTGGCGTTTCGCTCTGTATATTATAGATTTTGAATGAGGTGTAACGTTACATTTTAGTGAGCTTTCAGCCACAACCCTGTCTTCAGCTTCAGCGCCTGGCCGACTGAGATCACTGCGTAGAGTGCGTGAAACCAGAGACCCGCCCCCAGGTCCGATATGATTGGTTTACAACTCACAAGGCTTTATATGATTGGTCGAACGGGGGATTCCACTTTTTACATTACAATAGTAAATCTAGGGTAGCGCAGCAGCAGCGCCTCCCCCTGTCACTCCCTGCTATTGCAGTATATTGTGAATTTGAAGACGCAATAGTCCGGTTAATTAATGAAGAATAAACGAGAATGAACTACAGATGATATGAACTGGTAATATACATTTATTTGAGAAGGGGAGCTTAAAAACTAAAGCCCCCCCTAAAACTGGTGTAGTGACTTCCCTGAACCCCATTAATAGACCTCTTAAGACATGTTATACTGTTCACATTCATATTAAGTGTTTAATATCAGTTAAGTTGCTTTGTCAGTGGTAACCTACATTACGATTAGCTGATGCTGGTAGATAATAATGTAATAGTAGACTTACTTCCTTGCAATGTCATTTTAGAGTGTAGTAAGGTGTTAGCTTGTTTGTAGCGCTCAGTGACACGCAAAGGAAAATGCTCACAGGGCAGAACAAATTGGGTGTGTACGTTTTTGTTTAGCGCTGTGCTATACTGCGAAACTATATCATCACAAGCCTGCTTCAAACTGATTTGTTCAGTAATCTTAATTAGACTTGCTTATGTGGATCGTGATACTGTATGACTATAGAAATGGACAAAAGCATGTCAATTATCTAACATCTGTAGTGGCCATTTTGAAACCTGAATTTATTGTATACGTTTGTCTACTACATTAGCCTCTTAGCTTCAGTGGAAAACTAAAGAGGCACACGTCACTAAAGATGTTTTGGTGAATCAGTTACACTTGTGTTAAGGAGAAAATTGTTTGATTTTCCTTCAAACTGTTGCTTTAAGATCTGGTGTCGCAGTTTTGGAATATGTTGCAATCCGACATTAAAAACTAGGGATCGGGAATCAGCCAAGATCAGAATCGGCAGATTTTTGGTCCAAACACAAGTGGCAATTGGTCAATTTATTACCTTTTATGGTCAGTCTGTTGCAGTTTTATGACATAAATAACAGGAAGCAGGTAAGTGTACTCACTCTGTGTTTGAATGCTGCTGCTATACAGAGCTACAGCAAAATGCGGTAGCACAGTAATGCATGACTCATTGTGCTAAACAGCCAGCTTCTTCAATTCAATGTAGCACTTCATTTGATCCATGTTATTGAAATAGGTGCTTGATTTTCCATTTACGAATGTAAATGTAAATAATGTTATGTACACTGTAACTTTATCTAAGCAATGGCCCTGTTATTAGGAGACTGTCATTACGAATTTGAACCCTGGTGAAGCCATAGCCATCCATGGACAAGGAGTCCAAGAGAGTAATTAGCCTCGCTCGCTTTGGAGAGGTAGGTTGGCCCTCCCCTTTCCCCCATATCCCTCACCATTTCCTACCCCTGCCCCCCAACACAGCACGATGGAAGCCAACGCAGTGTCTGATAGATGACATAACAGAATTGACAGTTAGTGTTTTTCTCCAAGCATGTTGAGCTCCAATCCAAAACAATCAAAAAAAGAAACAAATAATTTGTCAAAAATCAGCTGGAATTGAAATCATGCACTTCTACTGAAAACTCTACAGACTTTCTTCTTCACACTGTGTATGCCTGTCATTTTTACACAGTGTTTGTTAGTGC